TTTTTTTAATATGATCACATAAACATTAAAGTCTTAATTTGCCTTTCAGGTCATTATAAACATGATTTTTAGGGCACTGATGATTATTAAAAATAACCTTATTGCGATAACATCAATAGTCGTCACTATCAATTTTTGTCGTTTTCTCGTAACATATCTTTAAATGTATGATCTAATCAAATTAAGTTAATTTTATACCATAAATTTATATTAGCTCTTAATTAACAATTAAACAATTATTTGGCTTGTTTAGGCAGCATGGACTAATATTATTCTAGAGGTGATGAGTAACATAACTAAAGTTCCTTCCATATTGTTTCATTAATCTCATTTATTAATTTTCGGAAACTTGTCTCTGCTTTGCCCAGTACTAAAGAAAACAAAATGATCTATAAATTAATAACAAATAGAACTGATTGAGCAATTTAAACAGACCCATGCAACAAGTTGTTTGGACGCTAGTAATAATATTAGCCGCATGATTTCATAAAATACAAAAAAAAAAAAAAAAGACTTGTCCTGATCCACTGGTAAAATAATTGTGTTAGTACATTGTTGTCCTCTTGCAATGATTATGATAAAATTATATATATATATATATATATATATATTTGGATTAACTTGCAAACTACAATACATTTCGATTCTATAGTCAAGGAGGGTGCATACTTCAAGTAATGTAGTATAGTACTGATCAGCCTGCAATTTTCCTACCCAAAAGAATAAATTTATTGAATAATAAATTTACAGTTTCTCGATTTTTAATTTGATAACTTAAAATATAATATGATAATATAATATATAAAATATAAAAATAATATAATTTAAAATTTTAATAATAATTATATATAAATTTAATAAAATTAAAAAAAAATTATTTTATATTTTATACAAATTATAACACTTAATTTTCATATAACATATAATATAAATATATAAATTTTAATATTATATACGATATAAATATAAAAATAAATAAATTTAAACGTTTTCTATTGTATCAATATAATTAATTAATCAATTAATTTCTCAAAGTAAATAAGCTCTTATAATTTTGTTGGTTGGATATTGTGCCTTTTCTCGTTAAAAGTAATTAATTTATTATTTATAATAATTTTTTAAATATAATAATTAATAATTAATGTTAAAACAAATTAATTAACGCAATAAATTTAAAGAATGCCTTTAAAACCACTTGTTAGCAAAACAATTTGTGATAATCAAACTAGTCTATGGTAAACTTATATCTATAAAAATTTAAAACATTGTATTATATTTTTTTCTTAGATAATCCTAGTTTAGACATAGAAATTAATGAATAATATTAAAGAAAAGGAAGGCAAGAGAATCTAGCTTGGTTTTCTATATGCAATAAGACAAATGCAAGTAAGAGAATGGTAGTCCATTAAAATAAAAAATTAAACCTCAGAATATGTACGCCATTGAAGTGGATACACCAAGGCATAATATGTCGTTTGCTATAGTAATCTTAATTTTTGTTAGCATCTATTATTCACGACAAGATATGCTTTTTGTTTTCTCTCACAAGATTGGGAACAAACTAATTAAATTTTTATAAAATATTAGGGTTAATCCGAATTATTAAGCTGTAATCTTGTTAAAGACTGAATTGTCAACGTATCTCTTAAATGACAATATATATATTTTTTTGATACATTCAAACTAGTGACAGTTGGGTCTAATATTTTGTTTATTGGGTTTTAGATCAGTTGGTGAAATTTGAAATTGGATTTTTTTGGGTTAAAGAATGAAATTATTTATCATATAGGGTTTAGGTTTAATTTCAATTATATTTTATGTATCCTTCATCTAATTTTTAGTAATATTGTACTTATTTGTAACTTCTATATATATGTGTATGCATGTATGTATAAACATTCAATAGTACAAGATTACTGAAATATTAATATGGAGTTACCTAATCTAAGAAATTTTTTTAGTTTTTTTTTTTATATAATTTTGGCTTACAAATTAATTAATTAATTAGTTAATAACAACTATATTTTATATAAAAATAATTCTATAAATTATAATTTAACCATAACTTTAAAGAGTATCGAAAAGCAATGTTGTTAGAATTGGATCTATTCAATTAGGTTCGAAAGGAGTATTAAGTCGAGGTGGTCTTCTAATCTATCAAAAACTGGTTAATAACCTATTAAACCATCAAAATTGGTATTTTTTAATTAAAGGTTTGCATGTAGTAAGATTAAAACCTATTAGTTGACACAACTGAATGATAAAATCTTGTTTTCAATGTAATTACTTGACACAATTGAGCCGATTAGTTGAACCGAAAACTAAACATCCGATTAGTTTGAACTGTTATTAAAACATTGCGTAAAACACTTGTTAGCAAAATCCAATCAGAGTTGGAATTGGAAAGAATTATATGATACACCCTCCTAAAAAGGGAAAAGAATAACAAGTTGCTAGGCGACCTGCCATTGCAATGGCAGCCATATTGAACACAATATATAGGATGAGTAGCTTGCGTTTCAGATATTTCAAACTTCATATGGTCCATTAAACATTGACTAACTAATTAAAAAGCTAGATTTTCAAGCGTGTGGCTAACTATATTTTTGGATTTATTTTCTAATTTCCCATTCATAATCTTTCGATTATTCTTTCATAGCTGGCTTAAACTCAAACCTTGTAAATTTAGGGTTTGGGGTTGACTTTATTTTTTTTATGTTAATGGTTATTTGGTGTATGGTCATCTTCATAATAGTAAAGACCAACCCCCAAAAGAGATTGCAAATGATCTAACAAAGCTCCAAATTCCAACAACTTGATTAGTTGTTATTGATTATTGAAACTATTGCCACAATGTCGAAAAAAAATTATTTTCAAATTAAGTTTTTCATCTTTTTTTCTTATCAACTATAGGGGAACCACAGAATTAGTAAAAAAAAAAAAATCACCAAAGTATTGTTAATGGTACTTGTCATATGCGGCCAACAAAAAAATTGTACTTGTCATATGGATGATTGTTGATTCATTTTGGTTATTCAACATGTATGATTTGAATTAATTGTGATATTTTCTATTGTTTTTAATTATGTTCTTTGATCCTTATATATCCTTTCTTATATATAAAAAAAAGGAACAAATAAAAATAGAAAAACCCATAAAAGTTATTCTAGTTAATAAGAAGGACGAATAATCACTTAAAATCATCATAAAAAAAAAAAAAAAAAAATTAAACTCAAGATCCGAAGATAGTTTTGATAATATTACAAAAAAAGAAAGAAAAAGAATAGAAAGCTCAAACAAACTTTCTAAAGCCATCTAACCTTCTAACTCTGTACCTAAAGTTAAAATAAATAAATAAAAAAAAACCTTGAAAATTTTCTTTCGAAACTCTCTTTCTAAGTGTAAGCCTTTGTTTTGTTGCTTTTCCAACCTTCTTTTTACACAACATTGCGAGAATCTCTGCGATGTCAGCCTTTTTTATTTTGGTTCTCTATTGTATCATTGTGATTTGTACGTCCGACCGTATTATCACCAAATGACGACCAATCCTTTTCTCTTTTGTTTGGATTGTTCCAAAGCCTCCCAACACGCGTGCACTCCACGCGCCACCTAATTTGGCCGACTTATGGTTCTTATTGGCCCGTCAGCTTGATTGTTCTTTTGGAAAGTATTAGCCTAGTGTAATGCTTAGAATTAATAATAACAAAAAACAATAAAAAAAAGGATTAGGCATAAAAACATTCCTAAAAATGCGGAAGAAATAAGGTTGAACATTTTTCTCTTGTTTGCTGAAAATTATATCTAAAAATTTGTGTTTGTATTATGTATAATATTAAAATTTATATGAAAATTACGTATGAAATTAGTGTCATAAAATATAGATTTAAAATTTTATTAAATTTATATATAATTATTATAAAAATATTAAATCGTATTATTTTTATGTCTTTTTTTTATATCATATTCGTATCATATTTTAAATGATCAGATTTATTAAAAATAAGGTTCAACATGAAATAAAAAAAACTTATATAATTGGCCTTTTTTTTTTTCGTAAGTTCATTGCATTAAGCTACATTCTTAGTTCAATGAAAAAAGTAAAATGATCATGTTTAAGACCATTAAGTGTTTGAATTAAACAAACATTACAATATACATGTTAGTTTTTCCTTTAAATTTTTCCTAGCCAGACCATGCTAATTTTTCTTAACCTAAGTTATATAAGAATCATACAAGTTTGTATTTAAAAATAAAAAAATTTGATCTCATAGACACGATCTCTTAAAAGTTACCATGGAATTTTGATGTGGGTTAATTATAATTATAAAATCCCAACTCATAATAAGTATATAGATTTTAATTTTAAATATAGAAATTGTATTTTTATATCAATAAATCTTAATTATAATTAAGATTTATTGATAAATTTAATTATCGATAAATCATGTTAAAATTTTGTAGTAATTCTCGTGTGCCGTAGAACTTTGAAAGATCATTTTGTTATGCAATATTCAATGTGAATGGTGTATAAGAAGAACTCTTCTAGTTAATAGAATGTTATGGAAAGAAAAAAAAAATCTTATGCATCATTTATAAATAAGATTTAGACAACCTTTTATCCAAAATTAATTAAAGCTCCTAAATATCTTGCATCATTTTCATTATTGATTTTAAAGTGTGGAAACTTATATTCAATTTGCGAAGTATTATTTATTTTAATATAAAGTTTTATGATTTTATCTGCTCTGATAATATTTGTGGAGATTTACGCTTAATGTGTAAAGTATTGTTCGTTTTAATTTGAAAGTTTTATGATTTTATTTAAAAAAAGTGAAAAAAACACTTTAGAAATATAAGTTTAGATTTTAACATATATATCATATTATATCATCACATTTTTCACTATAAGATTAAAGGCATCACACAAAGAGAAAAGCTTTTTTTCTACAAAAATCATTTTTACCACTTAAACCGATGAGTAGACAAGGTGTGGCTCACAAGAGGAGAGTGTGTTACCTTAATACCCCAAAGACAGGGCCTCTACCAATATTTTCAAAGGGAAATCATAATTTTGTACCCTTTGGCCTTTGCTTTATCTCTTTCAATAAAATTCCATACTATTTCACGTGCAATTATGCTGTACAGTTTTATGTTTTTCGGTTCATCAAATGCCTTTTTTATATCTTAATCATTAGAATTAAAAATGTATCATTTTACCAATAAATTATATGACTGTTAGTTTCATCAAATGCCTTTAAAAAGCTCACTTCTTCACCCCAAAGTTCAATCCCTCAAGGCTAACGTATCCCTTTTTTTTTTTTTTTTTTTGGATTGGAGGTCTCTTATTTAAACAGTAAAGTTTTTTAGTTTTGAGAACAAGAAAGAGAAAGAGAGAAAAAGAATGGCATTAGAAGCTGTGGTTTTTCCGCAGGACTTCTTTGGTTACAACAGCAAAGATCTCTACAGCTTGTTAGGAGGGAATTGGAGCTATGACTTTGGCTTGGAAAGAGAAGAGAAGCATTTTCCTGATCAGACTAATAATAATTTTGGTTATGGAGATTGGACTTCTTCTTCAACAACTTCAATGGTTCCACCACATCATTTCAGTGATCATCATCAAATTCACCAACCAAAGTCATCCTCCGATGCTAATGGATCATCCTCCTGTGGCCCTCCAGCCTTGGATGCTTCAACAATTACTTCAAATCGTCCCAAGAGACGCCGATCCAAGACTCGGAAAAACAAGGAAGAGATTGAGAATCAAAGAATGACTCACATTGCCGTGGAACGAAATAGAAGAAAGCAAATGAATGAATATCTTTCTGTTCTTCGATCTATAATGCCTGAATCTTATGTTCAAAGGGTATTTTTCTCTTAACCCCCTAGCTACAATATGAAAAAAATAAAACAAAATCAAAGTGTCTTGATTGTGTTTCTTTGGTCAGGGTGATCAAGCATCAATTATTGGAGGTGCTATCAATTTTGTAAAGGAGCTTGAGCAGCGTCTTCAATTGCTAAGTGCTCAGAAAGAGGTAAAAGAAAGCTCAGATCATGGTGGTGGCAGCTGCTCTTCACTTTTTGATGAATTCTTCACATTCCCACAGTACTCAACTAGTTCAACAAGGGGTGATAATTCAACCTCCATGAATGATCAACCTATGGTTGAGACTCAATCTGCCATAGCTGACATAGAAGTTACCATGGTGGAGAGCCATGCAAACCTCAAAATAAGATCGAAAAGGCGACCGGCGCAGCTCTTGAAGGTAGTTACAGGGTTGAATAGTATGCATCTCAGTATCCTCCATCTCAATGTCACAACAGTTGATCAAACTGTGCTCTATTCTCTCAGTGTCAAGGTTAGTCTAATTATATAAAAATAATTGTCACAGTTTAATTTAGTTTCCCTTAGATTTATAGCATTGATTATAGTTGGTTTTAAATGCAGGTAGAAGATGATTGTAATCTAACTTCAGTGGATGACATTGCCACAGCAGTGAATAAATTGCTAGGTAGGATTCAAGAAGATGCTATGTTGAATTGAAAAATTCTCTGATTTCACCTTTTTTCACCCCACTGTAATTTGTTTTTTGTTTTCCTCTTTAATTTTCACCTTCATACATACCATATATGAAGGTCCTTTTTTTTAGTTCCTTTTAATCCTCAAGTTGTTTCTGAAATTGCCTATTGCCACTGATGCTTCAATTTAGTGTAGTTTGTTTTAGGTGACTCTATCCTTCTATGGGGATGAACTGTTTTAGAAAAATATCTCTGTTTCTTTCCCTAGAATCAATCATAATTTTCAAGTAAATTAATTTTTATTATTATTTTTCTTTTAATTGCATATAATGTATCAGCCAGACGCATAAAAAAGCCGGGTCAATTCTAACCACCTTTATTGTAATACTAATAATGCATGTCATTGACTAATGTTGTTGGAGAGTTTAAGATTGGCACTCTTGCCCACCATTAATCCCAATGACAACTTTGATTCAAGTCTTTTATTAAACACTTTTTTTCTCTCAGTGTTATAAGTTGGAACCAAAGTGAAGTAGGTAGCTTGAACCTTGAATTTGAAACTCTTATTACCATAGAGAAACTAATCTCATTTTTATTATTATTTTAAATTTCATCAAAATTAATCTTATCGTCCATTCAAATTGATCTTACACTGTTAATTGATTAGGTGCTTAACATTTGCTTATAGTCTTGTCATGTTGCTAATGCTTCTTTTTCAATTAGCAAATCCAAAATTTGGCAGCAAATCCAACCTAAATGAAGCCAAAATCACAATTAGCAGCTCAAAGTTATGCAATAAAAACCATTCAAATAACCATGATTCCATGAATAATTCTTTATCATCTTATCAGAAAGCCTGGTTTCAAGAATTTTCTTGTCAAAAGAAGCTCAAAGGAGACAATGACCAATGAAGGTGAAGTACTAAAGAAAGGCTGTCATATAAACAGCTTTTAGAAAGGCTAAAAACTTTCCCTCTTTCTGTAAATTTCTTTTTTACTTCAACATTGGGGAAAATGTATTATGATGAAGCACCAGACCAAGTAAATTAGAAGCCAAAAAACCAAGATATCATGAAAATTTGTTTTGAACAAAAATTTTGTACCTAAAAAGCCATGATTTTTTTTCCCGTATTTTACTTCAAATCAAAATCATTTGTGCATTGAAGATATCATGGCCCCATGAATTTTGTACGACATTGTTCATGGTCGAATCCCAAGGTAAGAAAAAAAAAGTTGATATGTTGGTGGGGTTTTGATTGTCTTTAAGACAGCAGAAGAACAAAGAAAATAGTATTGAAGTCTGTTTGATCATTATGCAATATCATTAAACAGACAAATTAAAATTATGTGATGCCTTGGAGATTAGCTACATTTTATGCTTATATAACCCTTAATTTTTTTTTTCTTTAATTTCACCCCTTTGCAAAGTTCTATCATTTTTTGGAATGTTTTGTCAATTGCATAATTTTGATATTCAATTTGAAACAATTTCAATTCAAGAGATACATTTTAAGGTATACGTTAGTCTCTTAATTCAATTTGTGAAAATAAAAAATAAATTTACATAACTTAAAATGAAAATTAATTAATTTAAATTAAGTCAGGTGTGAATGCAAAAGTTTTGGTTTGAGGTACCAACCAATGCTTTTGCAGCAATAGTTACATAATTGTGATAAATATGAATTAATCACTGTAATTGAAAGAATGGAAAATGAACTAAAGGGGATGTTTTGTTACTGTATAACTTTACACATGGAACACAAGTTAACATATTAACAAAGTAACAAGCACAAAATGGTTTAAAAAAAATAATAAAATATATTATCAACAATGCTTTGGGTGTTTCATGTTGGAGTTTGTTTATATTTTTTTTTCTTTTATTTTTTTAAAATATTAATTTTTATAAATATGTTTTACTTTTCACATGCATTGTTGAAGAGTCCAAGTCTCCATTAGTGAACCACAACATCATGTTTTTCTTTATACCATTTAAGATTTATTTTATTTTAGATGATTCTAACTTTATATATTGTTTTTTTTATGCGAAGATTCGTACTTTATTTATAAGTTATTATTTATTTTAATTTGAAAGATTCACGATATTATTTTATAAAATATGTCTTGTAAACTTGAGTTTAAATTTTAATTTACATATTATAATAAAATTTTAAAGCATTCAAATATAAAATTTAGGTGTCACACTTCATTTTCTCCCTTCATCTGTTTTTATCTTCTTGTTTTCTAGCGGAGATAAATGGACTTGCAATGATTCCGATTATTTTTCTCTTTCCCTCTCTCTCTTCACTCAATATTATATTTTTATCTTTTTTTTGCAAAAAAAAAAAGACAGTGAAAAAGCTTTTATATTTTAAGTGTAAATAAACAAAGAATAAACAGGAATGAAAGGGAACTTTAAATAACAATGATCTTTGAATAAGGATGCATGGGAAAAAGATATACATTGGTCCTGATTTTACAAGGGGGAACAAGAGCAAAATTTTCACTAGGAAAAAATTTGAATGATCATTTCATTGGTAATGTTTCTTGGTGGACATCAACATATTTGATCAAGAAAATAATTGACAAAAATTGACTAAATCCACTCTCTATTGAAAAATCTAAATTCATAACTATGAGTTCTTAAGATATTCAAGTGATTCAATTAGTAAATTAGTACGATCATTATCGGTCCATTAAAGGTTTGGTTTACGCTAATTTTTTTGATACAAGAAGGTCGTAATTTGGGATTAATGAAAAATTTCAGATACTAAGATTTGAATTAAAATTTTATTGTTGTCGTTTTTTAAAAATGGTTACACGAGCCAAATTAAGTTAAATTTTGAAGAATAAAAACGTGTGTGGAAGCAATTCTATGGTTTCTTTAACCAAGTACTAGCCAGGATAAATTAAAAGAGCTGAGTGCATATTGGATTAATTTATATTTAACCAGAAACGTTTGCGCATTATTGTTATAAGCTGATCATGATTAGTCTTCACCACACATTACTTACCGGAAATATGAAAGAGACTATTTTATATGAGAAGTAAATCAACAGCAATGCTATTGCTACGAGATAAAGATTCTGTAAAATGAAGGCTATTGTATTACAAAATAAATTGTAACTAGCCCTGATTCCAATCACAATCCGTGAGAGCTAAATATACTGATCTAATTGACATCAGAGCACACGATATATTTAATTTAGTAATCAAAAGGTTGAAATTTGATATTTAAAAAAACAAAGCAATTTGCAGACGGTTGGACCAGAGAAAATGCTGTCCCATTAGCACTTGATAGAGTATCCATAATAAAAATGTACTAAAAAAGGTGAGATTTTATCATGGGCATTGATCAAATAGCAATCAAATTTGGAAGCATTGCCTAAAGAAGTTGGGAAACACCATCCGTCAGTCCTACATTATGTCTGGAACTCTCAATTGTATACGGTTATATAAGAAAGTTTTCATTGGGACGTAGTAATATGTGAGAAACCATTGGAAAGCTTAAAGGGCATGAAATTCAGACCTGAGCCATATGCATGATCCCTGATGGCTCAAAGCCATCACATCAAACGCGGTTGGTGCTAATACCAATTCTTTCCTCTGCTGTACTACTCATTCTGTAGTCAACCATATGATTATGCTTTACCAGGACTTCAATGAGGTCAACCATATGATTTATGTGATTTATGAATTCAAGAGGCAGAGAAAATCCTGAGAAGCAGTTTGGAAAATTTAACTTTAAGCAGCTCAAGTTGTTTGTTTTGAAGAACATTGACATGGGTTTCCTATTCTAAGTAAACATTGGTTGACATGACATGGATCTTGGTAAAGATTGGAGAACATGTTTTGATGGTAACTTTATGGGAACTTTTGAAACATTAATTTACATAAAAACAACACAATCAGCGGAGGCAGGAATATTTTTGAAAAGAAAATCGTTTGCTTGACTATGATTTATTTTGTAGAATGCAACTATACAAGGAAATAATTGTCTGATTTTTTGCTGATTCTTTCTTTTTTTTTTTACAATTATTTATATTTGATTTTGTTTCCTAAAAGATTATTTACAAGTCTTTGAGTTTTGACCTTAAGTTTTGACTCTCCAGGTCCAGGATTCTGAATTTTTCTGCCATTGGTTGCTGGTGCTTGTTGATTCACCTTTTCAAAACAAAAAACCTCTCGTCATGGCGTTGAATTTTGAAACAAATTTGAGTTTCCTTTACAATGCAAATATGGATTATATTCTTGCCAAAAATAAAGTTCTGAAGTGAAAATTTTCCTAATGGAAGTTGGTATTAATTGAATAAGCAGATTTTTCTCTGATACTTATTTTATTGCCTTTTCTGGAACATCTTTCTTTGTTTCCAAGTTTCTTCCGACTACATATAAGTATCAAATAGGGTCTATATATGTTTTCTCATAGCACAACTCGTTTGATTTTGGAGAGATATCCAAGTCCTTTGTTTTTTTTTTCTTCCTGCTGCATAATTACTCAGGTACCAGCTTTTAAAATTTAATGGTAACTTTCTTTCAATTTAGTTTCAGTTTCTGATCATAAAATTTGCCGCAGTGATTGTTCTGATTTTGTTTGATTGGTCTAGGGAATCAGTCATGGATTAGCATCCAGATTTGTGTCTGTAACTGGTTACTGCTTAAAATTAGTTGGTTTGTAAGTCATATAGAGCATCTACTAAAGACGGGTTGAGCATTGGATTTGGCTTAATATTATAAAGGCATGATATTATCTTGTCAAGGAAGAGGGAGTTGTGGGGAGCAAAGGTTCCACACTGAAGACTCTTTCTCCAAGGGACTGTTAGATTGACAGAGGTTTGCTGTCACCATCTTGGCAATTTCTTGATGGAGAACCAAAGTTAAAGCCATTGAGGGATAATGTGACTATCCAAGAAGGGCTAACCCAATTTTCGTTGCGATTTTAGGATCTTTGCAGCATAGTTTCTTATATATGGAGATAAATTGGTATAGACTAAATTAATCAATAGGTCATGTAAGATCAGTGAAAACAGGTTATACATAAACTATAGCAGTACCTAGTAGCTCATAGGGCTTATTTTCCCTGGTGATACCCACCAGGTTGGCCTGCAAATTCATATCTGTCCCTTCTCAAAAATTTATAGATATCTTCTTAGTTAGAGGAAACTTTAGCAAATTTTATCTTTCTAATTGTGCTGCATAATTCCATTTTATTCGCTGTTAGTCAAAACACGATTGAATTTAGGCTTTACCTGTGAATAGTGAATAGTCCTACTCCTTCCCTTAAATTAAGTTGATTTAATTTTAACATATAGGCTACAAATGAGCATCTGAATGCTTAATATATTAGCTATGCAGTAAATTCTGTTTTCTGTAATATACTGTAAGTTATTTTGGTTCCTCACTACTTGCATTTTACTAACCTTCAACAGTGATATGTTTGTTTCTTAGAGATGATGGAAGAAGAGATGTCAAGTGTGATTTCAAGTGGTGAAGTGAATGCAACTTCAGAAGTTTTGGATTCAATTAGCACTAATCACCCTGCAAACAAACGCCAAAGATGTGGCTGTAATGGTACCTCCTCACAATTCAAAGGCGTTATGCGACAGAAAAATGGACAGTGGGGTGCTCAATTGTATGCTAATCATACTCGAATTTGGCTAGGGACTTTCAAATCTGAAAAAGACGCAGCTATGGCCTATGACAGCGCAGCAATCAAGTTTCGTCCTGGAGACACACATAGGAATTTTCCATGGACTGACGTCACCGTTGAGGAACCAAAATTTCAGAGCCATTACAGTGCTGAAGCTGTCCCGAACATGATAAGGGATGGTTCTTATCAATACAAGTTCTTGGATTTTCTTAAGGCTCGATCTAGAAATGCAAAAGCAGAAATTGATCTCAACTCAGTTGGGACATATAGCAATAAAGGGCTAACTTGCAAACAACTGTTTCAAAAGGAGCTAACACCAACCGATGTTGGTAAGCTGAATAGGCTTGTTATCCCGAAAAAATATGCTGTCAAGTACTTTCCACCAGTATCTGGAAGCAAAAAAGAAAATGATGAGACTGGTGGTAGCATGGCAAATGATGCTGAGTTATTTTTCTATGACAAGTTTATGAGATTATGGAAATTTCGTTATTGCTATTGGAATAGCAGCCAAAGCTTTGTTTTCACCAGGGGTTGGAACCGATTTTTAAAGGAAAAACAACTGAAAGCGAATGATGTGATTTCTTTCTACGTATGTCAGCGTAGAAAGGAAAGGGAGATACATAGATTCTGCATGATCGATGTGAACGAGTTTGGAAATAATAGTGCATTGATTGAGGCAGCCAATTTTCAGGTGGGAAGAGAAGTAGATTTGCAACTTCGGTTGGGACATTGTTATGCCTCTGATGGTCAAAACCACGTCAAACAAGAGAAATTAATGGAAGCATGGCCTAAACAAGGGCAAGTAATGGCAGCAGAAGCAAGACAAGATGTTAATACTGAGGGTTTCAAGCTCTTTGGTATACAAATTAACTAAACCTGAGATCAGTGCTTTTTTTTATCTCTCTTTGCTATATATCTTTCTTTTATGATCAGGATTCTAGCTGATTTGAAAATTACAGTAATGATGGCTTAAGGGTTTTTTCTTTTTTTTTCTTTTTTTTTTCTGCACAATTTGTTTGCTGGAATTTTGGTTTTATGTATCAAACTATCAATGGAAGTTCAATCAGCATTTCTTTTCAACATAATTCTGAACTTTAAAGCATGATGTGATTCCCCTTATACAGTTAAATGTAAGGTAAACCCTTAATATATACTTAAAAGATTTTTTGTCTGAATTTGTGAGGAATAGTTTAAATTGGTGAAGTTCTGTTTTTCGAACTTCCCAAGTTTCTTTCATACATGATTTTATGTGAAATTTACTAGAAATTAGCTAAAGACACTAGAAATGCCATAGATATACATAGCTGGATAATTATGGATCCATATAGGATACTTTTTGCAGCAAATAGAAGCAGGAAAACCTGTAACCTCAAAAACAGCAAAAACCAAGATGAAGAAAAAATAACTTAAGACCTAAGAAACTAAAAGATAAGACAAAAACAATCTAGAAAGTGCCTTCAACCCTTAGAGTTGGCTCAGGATTTCCAGAAGTAGAAAATAATTGTATTGTTTTGTACTTTCCAGTCCTGAAGGAATATATCCATAGCTCCTGACATTTGTGGTTATGATAATAAATCATATCAGCTAAATCTATTTTGACACGTGTGGCTGAGGTTGTATATGACACGTGATCTATGATTATAGTTCTAGCTCCCAGTTTAGATTTCTTGATCCATGCCATCTTCGACCGTGATAAGACTTCTGATGCTTGGAATAATTTGGACAACATACCAATAATAGCTCTCCTTCAGATTCAACCACATAGAAATTGTATAACCATATAGGAGACAAATATGTCTGGTGGCACCACCAGTGGTTTAACGACTTGCTCAAGAAGAGAAAATTATGGAAGAAGATGATCGAACGGCTGACCTTAGCTTTCTTACCTGTATCTATTGTCTAGAGTTTTCGTTTCCAATAATAGCCGTAGCTAGGGGTTTTGGAGTAATTAACTAGTTACTACTTAACTAGGTCATGTTACTCATGTACGTGACAGCCTTGTTCTGATCGCTAAGCCACAGACCCTCAAACCATCAAAAGCCTTCGTCCAACATGAAGACAACCTCCAGTTTTGATCCTCAGGGGCAGAATTATCTCGTAAAGTTAAAGCCAACTGATAAACGTACAGCACCCCAGGGAATACTGTCATATATCTGACTTTGGTAGAAAATTATTGTAACATACATTGAAACACATTATATATGTGAGAAGATCGAGTCAATAAAGGAAATTGTCTCCTTGTAATATATGTGAGTTTGGCATTACTTTCACAATGCCAAAAAACAAAATCCAAATGTATAAGATATCAAAGTAAATATCTTGGAGCATATTGATGATACTATTCATTACAGAGGACTAATGATAATCATTTTAATACTGAACAGCAGTGCTCAAAAATATGTTGGTGCATCCAAAATCTCCATTAATCATGGTTCTGGAAGCAATCCTAACTCGTTTTCGTCTTGAGATGTGCTGCTCCTTGGTAATGATGACCTGGTATGAGGAATTTCCATTAGTTAAACTAGGAGTGAAAATGCCTAGCTTGAGGACAGATTAATTCGAACCAGCTTGTTGTATCAACTTTCAAGAGAAGCAGAAAATAAATGATATTAGGCATTAATATACCCAAAAATAGAAGAATTTAGAAAAGGAACAACCCCATTTTTTAGAATTGACAATTCCAGTTCTCGCTTTAAAGGTTAAGTGGAAAATAATCCAAAAGAGAGCAGACCTCCGTTGAAATATGTTATTCATGTTTCACCATTGGTCGGTATAAGCACTCCTGATTCTTCTGTCAGCACTTTATAAGCATTTTGCAATCTTCGAGTAACAGGCCCCACTTTCCCATCGCCAATGATGCGCCCATCAATTTTCACAACCTTTTAGAAGGATATTCATCAAGTAGTTCGAACAAGGGAATATAAACTAGCCAGCCTGTTTGTTTTATGTGCCAACAGCAAATTGAAAACGCTCTCTTTCTATCTCTCTCAGTTGATTAAGGTTCTGAATTGAATATTTAGAAAGAAGGAACTCACCGGGCTGAGTTCTCCCATTGTTCCAGTAGTCCATACCTGCAGGCCATTCTTTTTCATCATAACTTTAAACACATGTAAAAGGAATATTCACAACCAAGGTACATATATCTAGAGTCATTTGTAAGCCAAAAATATCCCATCATTACAATTTTAACACAAAGTTTACATGCCATTATCATATTTTAGTTGGCCTCCTGAAACACTCTAAAGATTAACCACTGTAGAAGAAAGTAGCTCTGGGGTCAGAGTGGAACGATATAACTAATAAAAACAACCAGAAAAGCTTCAATAGGAAGGTATCTGGACATAGTTATCATGGTAAACACTTGTCTTATGACAGTAAAACTGTTGATGAACTTCAAAATATGACATAAGGTATACGCAACCCTTCATTATTGTGCAAGCACTAAGGCCTTTTAGTATAGTTCAAAGGAACTTCATCAAGCATATCATTGTAAAATAGAGGAGCAATTAATTTAGAATTTTCAAAGTATTTCTTGAAATGGATTCTATAAAAAAAAAAAAAAAAGAAAAGAAAACACTGGAAACCTCATCTGCTGTATGGAACTCAGATAAGCTAATCCTTCGCTCCACTAGGACAAAATTTTCCTTAATAACAAGCTCCATGACCTGCAATACCAATGACAAGAGCATCACATCAGTTTCAAAAATATAAAATAAAAGTACCGAATAAATAGCTTTAATAACATCCATTAAAAGGAAAAAAAAATTTAATAAGTGTAAGACAAGTTCATTTAATTTCACACACAAACATTTCCTCACAAAAAAATATATTTTTGGATATCTTTTTCAAGTATATGCATAAACGAAGAATATATAATATGTTGTACAAAAACAAGGGAAGAAGTTCTAGTTCTACAAATTTGCATTATTGCATCCTTAATTGCAGGGTAGATTTTAAAGATGCAAATTCATACCATTGCATAATAAAGACTGTAGTTATACCAATATATTGAGCATAGCAGTAATTTCTAGTCACACTTGATTAATAAACTTTTTTTGCTTATTCTGCTACAGGGATGAAGTAGGCAATATGTAATCAAAATTAGTCACGTTCAAATAAGATATTGATCAACTTTTCATGTACCTAAAGTGCTATTTGTTTCCTTGAGATCAGGAAGTTAGAAGTACATTGGCAAAGACACAAATTACAGCTAAAATGAAAGTTTAAGCAACTTACAGTTGCGCGAGTAATCCCAGGAAGACAATAATCAGCATGAGGTGTCAAAACGTGGCCTTTTTTTACCAAAAACTGCAACATGAAACAGAAGAATATTTCTAAGGTAGAGATTTTCAACTTGCAAAGCACATGCATTAGAAAAAACTGTCCTTCTAACAACCAAATGCCATCTGTCAACAGGTAGTAAGATCTAGAAGCCACATGTCCATTTGAACTTTCCATACCAAAGACCAACTACCTGCATATTTACTGCAGTTGTCGAGGTATATAAAAACAATGAGAACGTGAACATGAACAATTAAGTCCACGTGGAGATTATAATGCATCCAATATTAATACTTGGTCATAATGTTCTAAAATTCCTAGTTCACATGTAGATCTAAAATAAGCAATTGCAGCAAAAGCCTAGTCATACAATGTTTGTGGCATTTGTTTCGGATACATAACCATCCTTGTCAAGCATGATTGCATCATCGGCATTTGCATTATTCCCTTCTACCTGCATCAGACAACACAAATCAATTTAAGTCCAAGTCATAGTTCAACAAAAATACATAGCTGGAATTAGTAATACAAACATAACTCTCCACCATAACATAGTTAACATAATGGTCATATCAACCCATCATGGTCTACATCCTTAAGCTGAACAAAACACCAATAACCAAACTTAGAGAAACTGGTGATCAAAAAACTTTTATGTTTCAGAGATTAACAGGTCCACTGCAGCTTTGTGATAAGAAAATCCGCAATTTAATGCAGTTGTTATCTTGCAAAATATAGTTAATCAGTTCATATTAGGGCCCGAAGTATTTCATGACAGTAAAGCCATCAAATCAAGAACTACAATAGCCTGAATTGCATGACAGAAAGAAAATAACCATTCAAATAATGAATTAGATATTAAAACTTTATCTACTCTCAAATTTATCACCAAATCATATCAAAATCCTTGGTAGGACAATACCTTTGCTAGTATATTATTCAGAAGATTATTGTGGTGAATCTTTGAGTCCAAATTCTGAAAGGGTTACAAAACAATTCAAAGTCAGCTGGCTCATAGGAAGATAAAATTTCCTAAAGGAAAATATTATTAAATAGAAAAAAACACCCAGCATTTCTTTCTACAATAAGCCACAAGGAGGCCAGGCATATTATGTTCTCTTAAACTTTTCTACAAGTAGCAAACAGTAGTAAGAAAAGAAACCAAGAATCTTACGTTTGGTGAATTACGTCGTGTAGTAGCAGTAACAAGTGTTATACCACTCAAGTTGTCATAAACAGGGGGTTTCCATTCAGGAAGCACTGCATTTTTTTCACAGGAAACATTAGTGTATCACTTGAGAGCCACAAAATTAAAGAAGCAGCTCTATACTCGCAAAAGTAATTTTGCTAATATTATGCAGATGCACTACGACAGAACATTCTAAGTGTGGTATTAATTTGCAGCTAACATCCATGTGTCAATAGAAATAAGAATTCATGAATACTTCTCTAGCATATGAAGGACTTAAAAATCATTTTACCAATCAAAGTGCGACTTTAAAAAAAAATCATTTTACCAATCAAAGTGCAGCCATAACGATTAAATGCAGGGCTCATTCCAGAAGTAACCTGAATAAGATGAGAGTATAGCATATGAAAGAAGAAAATCTTAGGCCAAACAAAGAATTCATGAATGGCAACAACCATAATTTTGCACCATCCCAGTTTTTAGCCCAAAGAGTGCAGTATTTTAGGCATTTCAATGGTTCCTCAAGTATATAGACTATCGAGAGACAGAGAGGAGGTGAAAATGTTTCGTACCTTTTTCCCACGAGTAAGTGTTAATCGAATGTGTGTATTATCAAACATTCCATTGGCATTGAGAGTTCTGAAAATAGCCTCTTTGATCTGCAATAACACAACATGTTACTAAGAATCAACCAATTAACTTCCTTGCAAGTGCAGAGTCAAAAGATGCTTGCACAATCGGTGGCCATCACCCAATGCCTAATACCATGAAACGCTGATATTTTCACAACAAGTGAAATCAAATTCATATTCAGATCCTCACCTCATCACGAGTTGGAACATTGTTGAAAGCCAGAGCCTTTGCAGAATCAAACATCCTTGTGAAATGAACCAAAAGAATAATGCAAGTGATCATCAGGCAATATGAGTGAGGACTGATATAGTTTTGAAGTTTGCATATGTGTCATTCACTCATCTTTCGCCATACAATCACACATAAGGAAATGAATGGGTCAAAAATATGCATATTTTTGTTTTTGCTTGAAAATGTGCTGATAAAATAATATATTACTGCACTTCCCACTAAAAGGAATTCAGAATCTCATAATACCTACTAAAAGAAACTCAAGTGAGCATGATAACTACTTGTTTCACAAAACACTCAAGAGCAAGAACAACAGCAAAGAAAGAGTATTAAGGCTATAATAGACCTATAACCAGCATGATATACTATGTATTTCTAAGTGTTATTTATAAAAGTTGCAGAATTTAGAATGTACACTTCTCTGTTAGTATAACTAGTCAAATCAGGGGAAAGCACCACTGGCACATCATGCAAGGATATTTTGAACAACTAAGATGCACAAATCATATGAAAGTACACAGCAGTCAAAACCCACAGCCTTTTGTAATCTTTTGTAATTTATTTTAACCAACCTATCTAAATGCTCTTCGAGCTTAAATATCTTTCCACTGTAAACTCGAAGTCCTTCCCACACACCATCACCGCCTTGAACGATTGAATCAAACACTGAAACCTGGTACACATGCCACAAATTAAGAATGAGAAACCTAATGCACTTATGCATTAATGCTCATAAGGGAATGCTCAAGTAACTGAATAAGAGATCTAGAATGGTTCCAGGATTAAGGACCTTTGCACTCTCGCGAGGTACAATCTCATCACCAACCCAAGCAAGCAGCTTTGCATTTTCAGGAACTGGAATATCAGGAACAGGTAAGGGGGACGTTAGAAGGGATGATGTCTGCCTCACATGGCGCCTAAGCATGTTATAGATAGGTAGACTTTGCTCTAACAAGTCATAAAATGAGAAAGGAAATGCCTGCAAGCAGATATCAACACTTCATCAATGATTCCAATATTTCAGCTTGTAATGAACTCCAAATTTTTTGAAGTAAAAAAGCATGAACTCTCATTATGGAGATGAAGATTATAGACAGATTAGTTTGCTAGACAAAAAACAAAAACATTTGTATTATAGCTTATTTTCCAAAGACAAAGGCCAACTATACTATAAAAAAACCACCAATTTACTTCTCTCAGCCTTTTAAATAAGCTTTGTGATAATTGTTTCTTTCATAAATAATCTATTTTCAGCTTACGGAGACTTGAAATAACTCATCAGGTATAGCACTATTACTGACAAAAGAGCCAAGGCTGTAGGCCTATGCTTGTCAACTAAACATAAATGCAATTAACGTTGGATTGAACTGTGAATAAGGAAGTTAAAAAGGAAACTTCAAATGTAAGATGACTCTACAGATTTAGTTAAGCCAGCAACTAATTTACAGTTCATAATTCAAAATGAAAATAATGAACAGGTGACATACCCTAGGGTACTTTCTTGTGGGTGTGAAACATGTTGATTTATGCACACTTTTATACCACCATGGAGCCCAAATACCATCTATCGGCTTAGGACCGGCTTCCCATCTGATCCAATTCAGACCACATAGCTGTCATGATAATGAAATTACTGTTCTAGTAGACGAGACTATGTGTAAAATAATATCTTTGCACATTATGTATGGGAGGTGACTGCATCAAACAGTTATTCTGGTAGAACTGGATGAGTTTCCAAAGAATATTAAGTAGGGACACACATGAAAGAGAAAGACATGGTGAATAAGAAAAGAGATAGCAAGTGGTCAGGATAAGGTAGAGTAATTATTGACTATTTGACAAGAAGGCAGCCCAAAACAAAGTTGCTCGAGGCTGGGCGGGCGACTACAAAGAAATGTTCATCCATGAAGAAGTTTAGAACATATTTGACTAAACAATCTGGTCAGTCCGCAGAAGATTTATTGAGCTAAACTAAGCCATCGTTTTACCAGCTCATCAAGACTGCCATGAATGAGAAAGTTAATAAAATGAGCTGCAGGCAGAGCCAATAAATAGATTTATATGTTTTAACTTGTAAAAAAAATTTTCTACATGCCTGAGCATCGCATCTTGAAAAGGAATATTTAAATCTTCACAAAGACCACGTAAAGTAGCCTGCACATAAATAAGATGAATAAATACAAAAAACATATGTAGCAATTGTAAAATTAAATGAATTGTGGAATTAAACATAAGAATGATCCAAGATAAACCAACTATCAGATTTCAAGGTTTGACAAAACAAATAGCTCAATACATGTAAGATTTCACATGCAGTATGATAATGGGCTTTACATAGAGTGAGGAATTCCAGGTTAACTTATTAGAAAAGATCTACGACCTCAGGATTTTGTTGAAGATCTGCTGCATCAATGACAGGTGGGGGTTTTCCCAATGCACAAAGCTCACTGTATATGGAAACTAGTTCTCCCAAACCTAACTCAAGAAAGGATGGAGGCACAACCTTGTCAAAGGATGGCTGACAAGAGAATAAACAAAACACAGAAAATATCAGTGAATGATGTCAGAGATAACGAAAGGTAGAACATTAAGCACTAAGCCTTAAAATATCAATCTTGCCAGTGTATAAGCTCTCAAGAACATAAAATTTTCATTGCCTTTATACAGGCTAACACATGAAACCCTAAACTATTCATTCTAAACAACGCAATTTACTATTTACCTACACGATTTCCTTTAGTTTACTGGTAAGATTCTATCTAAGTGAAGTGAGATGAAAGTTGTATTCTCAAACAGCTTACCAGTATATCCAGAGGATTTCGTATCAATATAAAGTGCTTTCCTTTTTGGAACAAGTCATTTGGCAAACCTGGTACCCGTTGCTTTGCTATATGCTGTATGTAAAGAGAGGGAAATTAATTTATAAATTATCAACTCAAAAATAAAATTTTGTACCTATGATAACCTAGAAGTAAATCTCAGAATCTACCGATGCTTTCCACATTATGGGTTTCCCTCCATCTTAATGGAATTTGAATATCTAAGGAAAAAGCCAAAGTTGATACAAATCCAATGAAACCTTCTTTCATTGAAATTTGACATGCTTCTGTATGTAAAACATACTTAGAATGGAGTCAGACTTTTTTATCTATAATGCACAGTTGAGACATTGATTAGAACAGCACAAAGTAATATAACTTAAGACTATAAAATAAAGTAATATAACCTAAGAAATTAACTCCATTAGAATCGATATATTACCAAAGGAACAAAAACGTTTCTAGCATAGCACACTTTAATTGGAAAGAAAATTTCTCCAAGCATGGAGTATATGTTTAATATGTTTTCCTAAACTTATGCTTGGTAGATGGAAAAACTTGTAGAATATTACCTTACAAAACCGATACTTCTTTCCTCCTGGACTATAAATGATCTCTTTCACAACTTTATTACCATTGCATTCCTATTCCAAAAATATATATACATGAGGGAGATGCCAATAACAAGTGAAAGAAAGCACAAAACCATTGAGGGAAACCAGAAACAGAAGAGAAAAGACATTGTTTAAATTGAAAGGATCAGACATACGAAAGACAGAAAACTATATGTGTCCCAAGAATAAAGATAAAAATAATCAAGTATTCTGCACAGTTACAGAGTAATTGGAGCAAACGAAATAATCCATTTTCAGCATCTTTAACTACCATTCAGACCTTCCAGTTGCCATGTTCTTGTTTCTGACCTAAACAGAGATACGATAGTGAGTTGGATTGACAGCAGCATCCTCTATTTCCAGAAAAGATCATTTCTATGGTACTAGAGTTGGCCATGTGACTCAAACACTTCAGTCATTTAATGTTGGGCACCATGTTAAGGCGCTGCAACATAAATCTCATGTTGATTTGCTTTCTTTCCTTCCATAATTAGATGTTTGCCCCATAACAATATCAATAAAATTATTCAGAGAGGTAAGATTAAAAGCTATTTGGTCTTTAGCACACAATCAAAGCCAACATATCCTAGGAATTTTAATCACATAAACTAAGGCATAACATCTCTGTTTTAACAAAATAAAGATAGTGTTCCTATAAAGTGAAAAATTTAGAATCTATCTCTATTTTTCCATCTTAAAATGTAAGGAAAGAAGCAAAACGGAGAAAACATTTGTTAAGCTTATGTGACGCACCATCTTAGATAGAACATCTTCACGGTAGGGCCTTTTAACACCAGTCACCTGAAGAAAAGTTCCATAGAGGGGCTCGTCCAGCACTTCTACATCATCCCTCTAAGCATAGCAGAAAATGAAACCATTATTAAGCAAATATAACCAAAGAAAGAGGCAAACATCTACCTTTGCCAAACTGAGAAACTTGTTTACAAAATTATGGCTTCATCATCAGCCAGCATTGTCCCCAGAGTACACTTATGGACTTAACCCAGCTTTGATATTCATATGCATATTTTATAGTTACTGAAAAAAAACGGACCTTTTAATGCTCAATAAGTTTCTTAAAAGTTATAGCTCAGAGCCTCAGATCATAAGATAGGAAACCGACTAGTTCAACTAAATACAAGTTCACGCTAACATACAGATTTTAGTAGTTCCTCTCTATTCTGATAATGGTCAATATTATCCCATTTTCACATTTTGAAAACAGAAGAATGCAAATCCAAGAACCACTTGGATCATTATCCAGTCGCATTCTTATCAAACCATGAAGTAGAGCACAGCAATTTAAAAAATAATAATAATAATAATAATAAAAAGCTTGAAGATACGGTGATCCAGAAGTTAAAATCATGATCAATTACAATAAGCCACCCAACAACTGAGATCTGCACAGTCCAAAACTAAAGCTTCTAATTCCTAAAACAAACATCCATTTCACTATTGGTTCAACTTCCTCAGCAACCAATCAAACAATAAAACTAATGGGTTAATTACAATGGGATCAGTAGGTCCATTTGATCAGCAACCCGCATATCAGAAAACAAGATTCAAATTCTACTTTCTTCTTTTTTTTGTTATTCCTCGACTGTATCAGAAACCAGTCAGATTAACAGAAGTAGAACACCGCCAAAATTATGGATTAGCTACAATTTGATCAAGGTTCAATCTTCTTAATAAACCAAATGTTAAAAGATAAAATAGTCAAATTTTACTTTCATCTTCTTCATTCTTTCCCAATTTTCTCGGCAAAGTCATGGGGTACTTATAATTCAATCAAAAGCTCCATTTTCAAAACAAACCCACATATTATATCACAAACAAGATTCAGAATATAGTTTTCATCTTCTTCATTTCTCTCTCAACTTTCCCAGCTATCAATCAAGGAACCCAGGATTTTTTTTTTTTTTTAAAGGGTTGGTGTTACCTGAGAAAAAGAGTACATGAGGCTAGTACTGAGTGATCTTGGAGCAGACCATGAATGGATAACCACTATTTCTTCTTGCTTTTGATCTGCCATTTTCTGTTAGATATGGCTTAGTACAGCAATCAATTATGTAAGAACTGAAGCCAGAGAGTGAAAGACACAACGACAATCGAAATTCGAAACAGAGAAGATTCGTTTTTAATGGTGCTGAGAGACAACTGTCCTGGTAGTGGGCGCTGCAGCCAGCTACAGTGAATATTGGTTAAGTTAAAAAGAACCTCGCTTTTGGTGAAAAAAGAAAATGACAGTGCATGAAGCTGGAAAATAATGGCAGTTAAAACATACGAATCCCATGCAGTCATGTAATTAATGTATAGATTTGTATTTTGAATAAGATTTTATTTATTTATTTTTCTAAGCAAATTTAAAATACATAAATTGTTCATATTTTAAAACGATGTAATAATTTAAAAATAATGACTGTCGGAAGCATATTGGAGATAATTCTAATAAAAAATTACCAATTCAACTTTCAATTGAATTCAAATAAAAAATTTTTACATAAAAAAAAATGATTTTTATCAATTAAATTAATCTCTTAATAAATAAGATTTTATCTTATCTTATAGTAATAAATCATAAATTTAATATTATTTACCTAGCGTATAAGTTATGCTTAGACACATTTTCTTAAGATAAAATCGTTGTTTCAATGATTTACTAATGTTGTTAGTAAAAAATGATTGTATAATAAATGTTAGAATTAAGAGTGTAATCAAATTGAATCAAGTTGATACAATGAAAAGCTCGAGTTCGAATTCGAGCTCGACTCTCAATTTGTAACTTAAACTCGAATGAATTTTATTTTCCTAACTCAAATTTGATTCGTGATGAAAATCGAGTTATTCGAGCTCACTCGATTAAATTCGATTAATATGTAAAAATAAACTCGATTCTTATACTCGACAAGAGCTCGATTATTTGTACTCACACTCAAACTCGAATTCGAGATATTTTATTAATTAAAATAATAAAAATATATTTAAATATAAAAATTTGATTAAGCTCGTGAACTACTCAAATCGGGTATAAGAATATTCGAACTCGACTCGATCGATGAATCGAGCTATTCGAGCTCGACTCAATAATAATCGAACCGAATTCGAGTTTTATTTGAATCGAACTCGAATAACTTACGAGTACTAATATATCATTTACACGTCTAATTAAAATATTTTATATTTTTATCAAAATCATGTCAGATAATTATAATGATAAAATATTTATTTTAGTATATTAATTAATAATTTTGATAACAAATAATTAATTTTTAAAAAAAATAATTATATGATATGATTTAAATAAAATAAATACTAAAAAAAATATATGTTGAAATAACGTGTAATAATTGTGTCATACAATCTTTTCATTGATTGATAAAAAGGTTGCTAAGATAATATTTTGATAAAAATTTTCATCCTATTTTGTTGATAGAATTTCAACTTTTGTGCGTTAGAAACTCATTTTCGAAGAAACTCTATTATTAGCTATTATTTTCTAAAGGATAAGTCACTATCCCCTCGAAGGGGCTTCCCACGTGCCTTGAGAGTCTATTTAAGAAGCGAAAAAAAAGAGCGTTCATAATGAAACTTTGGTGTAAGATTGCGTATCATAGTTTGCTAAATGGACGTGGCACCAAGTTTGTATTCAAAAGCTATTCAGAACCAATAAGATCATGCCAACTCAATGTCTTCTATGACGATGGACCCCCCCAAAATATTGAAAATGTAAGGAGTTGGATAAATCTTTTCTAAAGAAACATTTGAATGGAGCTGAAAAAGATAGCTATGAGATTTGGATAAGCATCTTCAATTGATTTCAACAAAGCATGTATTAATATTCAAGAAATCACCCTAACAGTAGTATAATCTATTGATACAATGTTGAGCTCTCAAATCTCGATGCCTAAAGTGGAAAAAAAGAAGATATGGGTCAAGTTATTTAGATGATAAACTAAACAATCGTATGCTTGAACGATCGTATGACTTCATATAAGGAAGCAAATCAAGGGGCCTCAGTGTAGATGTTAGGTCTGTGATTGCAAGATCAGCTTGGTCTGCTAGTGCCAGAAAATGATTGAATGTTTCGGCGTTCCGAATGACGGAAGCAATGTAAGCAACTACATCTGCCCTTGATCCAACACTGGTAGCATCATTGATAATTCTTTTGGTTCCACTAGTATTGATGTCAAAAGCGTAAGAACTGGATGAATCTAAATCAGGGGCATTAAGAACTTGTCTTTGGCTGGAACCATTTACTTTACCTCTAGCACATGTGACTTTGGGTAAAGATTTCCAGGAGCTTCCTTTCTGGTTCTTGTCACATGACTTCCTTTTATTCAAAAGAATGGCCAGTACTTGAACAAGATGTAGAAGACACGATGGATCATAAATAACATCTGCACCCAGACTGCAGAAGGAAAAACGGATAAATTAGTGATGGATAAGGAAAGAGGATAAACAATGAAAAAAAAAAAAAGCATCAATCCTGCAACTTGCTCACCATTAACTTTTAACTAACAATAACTAGGTGTTGTATTAGAAAATGTAGATTTAACCAATACCCTTCTTTTAAAATGTGAAACGTATTCATTGTAGAATAAAAGATATACAGCCCTCACATGATTTCTGGCATGAAGTCTTGGAGTTCCTTTTCTGATGCTGATTCCCAAGGCAGATGAATGCATTTAACCTAAGATTAACAATTAGGTCAGCTTTGACAGTGATGTGATAATTCTCTTTCAATTTAATTACACAGTTTTAAAACTTCCAAGGTCTCCAGACACAGAATCTGTTTTATTAAGTAACAAAGTAAGCACAAAAGAGCTTCACATTCCCATATTTGATGGAAGAGTTTTAAATTTCCTTGATCATTTTTATCATGATAAAAATCCAAAGGAAAATAATGGTTTACAAAGATGTGCCTTGAAAGTATGCATAAGAAGCACCAAAAAATTAAGCACTCAGAATAAAAAGGTTCCAAGACTTTGAATCCCCTAAAGATTCGGACTACAATGATATAAGAAATGTTTCATCTGGTTAATCATATATCAGAATGAACTCCCAACCATGTCAGATCTTTAACAACTGGATAACTTCATTTCCATTATCACTGACACCAACTTATGGCACTTCCTTTCTTTTAATAGAAATGGTCCATCATTGCCTCAGCTGAAGGGTCTACATTGTAATAAAATCGACACCTAGAAACACAACAATCTGATGGTTGTACAAGGAACATGGGAGGTAAGAAACGCCAAGACTAGATTCCTTTCTTTTAATAGTGTAGGAAAACACTTATTTACAGCTGATTGTAATCTTGTAATCTGTATATTTATATTTGTATCTCTAGAATTAAGTATTTGTATCCCTAGAATTAAGGAAAATTTAGTTTCCTAGTTTAACCCCTAATTAGTTGTATATAAACCTAAGATTCTTGTATAATTCAAGATAAGCAGTTTTTCAATATACATTCAGTTTCCACATGGTATCAGAGCTTTAGGCTCTTCTTGGGAAGAAAAATTTTCAGCCTTCATTGCCGACTTTTTTAGGCTTTCATTGCCGAATCCTGTTTAGGCTTTCATTGCCGAACCCTTTCAAAGAAAGATATCACTATCACCCAATTTGAGGAAATGTTAACTGAAAAAATCACTGGAGTACTACAAATGTCTCAGAAACAAGGAGAATTCAACAGGAAAGAGATTGAAAAGCTGAGAAACTTATTGAAAATCCTTGAAAAGCCTACTGTGGTATGTTCTTTGGGTAAAGTTTCTAATTCAGGTAAAGCTTCCAGTTCTCATGGATTAAATGTCTCGGCTAAGCCTATTATGAGTTCTTGGGTCATTGACTCGGGAGCCACAGAGCACATGACACATTCCCCACAAAAGTTTAGTACATATAACCTGTGTCCTAGTAATAAGAAAATTATTGTTGCTAATGGTTCACTTACCACAGTGACAGGATTAGGAGATGTTCAAGTTAATCCCTCGTTTGTTCTAAAAAATGTTCTTCATGTTCCTGGATTGTCTACTAATCTGATATCTATACAAAAATTTACCAGAGATATGAATTGCAAAGTAACTTTTTATCCCTCTTATTGTGAATTTCAGGACCAGAGTTCGGGGAAGATGATTGGACTTGCTAAGGAAAAGGATGGACTATACTATCTTGAGACATCAAATAACACAAGTAGTATCAAAAATAGTTTACCTTTGTCATTTCTTTCCGAAAAATCTTCCAATAAAGACAAAATCTGGCTTTATCATTTTCGTCTTGGACATCCTTCTTTTGGAACCTTGAGAAACATGTTTCCTTCTTCGTTCAAAGAATTAAATGTTGAAGATTTTCATTGAGATATTTGCGAATTTGCAAAACATAGACGTATTTCTTTTCCAATCAATAACAAAAGAAGTTCTACTCTCTTTTACTTGATTCATAGTGACATTTGGGGTCTCTCTCCAATTCCTAATATTTCTGGTGCGAGATGGTTTGTTTCATTCATAGATGATTGTACTAGAGTCTCTTGGGTTTTTTTACTTAAATCCAAATCAGATGTGAATAGTGTGTTTTTAAGCTTCCAAAACATGATCCAAAATCAATTTGGAGTAAGAATCAAGAGATTTAGGTCTGATAATCCAAAAGACTACTTCAACCAGAGTCTATCCACCTATTTCCAAAAAAAGGGGATTATCCATGAGTCATCTTGTGTTAATACTCCACAGCAGAATGGGGTGACAGAGAGGAAAAACAGCCATTTACTAGCCACAACCAGAGCCTTTCTTTTTCAAGCAAATGTACCTAAATCTTATTGGGAGGAAGCTATTCTCACTGCCACACACATTATAAATAGGTTACCTTCAAGAGTTTTGGGATTTAAAACTCCTATGGAACTACTCTCACAATTTTATTCCAACCTTAATACCACAAACAATCTCACACCTGGGATATTTGGTTGTACATCATTTGTTCATGTTCACAGTCATAACAGGGGGAAAGTTGGATCCAAGAGCGATTAAGTGTATTTTTGTGGGGTATTCTTCAACTCAAAAAGGATATAAGTGTTATCATCCTCTTATCAAAAAATTTTATGTGTCTGCAGATGTCACTTTTGAAGAAAATAAACCATTTTTTACTCAACCTTATCTTCAGGGAGAGACTTCATTCATGAAAGATAAGGATAAAGACTTCTTTTTGCTTGATTTGCCCCCTTCTTCAACATTTACACCCATTAATTCTTCTGAGTCGAAACCTGTTTCTGCTGAGCCCAAGTCAAACACTAAATTTGAGTCTGAACCCATTCCAAATACGAAAGATGTGACAAAGGATAATATTGTTCTTGATTCTATGAAGGAATTACAAGTGTACTCAAGAAGGAAAGTTCCAGATACTGAACCAGTGCCAGTCCAAGAACCTGATGCTAACTCTGGAAATGAGGTAACTACAGTTTTTGACTCTGTTTCTCAAAATGAGCATGAATCTCCTAAAACTATAACTAGTGATTATGATTTGCCTATTGCCATTAGGAAAGGAACCAAAGAATGTACCAAGCATCCACTATACCCAATATCTAATTTTGTGTCATTTGAAAAATTCTCACCATCCCACAAAAATTTTCTTGTGAGCCTAAACACTATTTTTGTTCCAACTACATTATCCGAGGCATTATCCAGTGAGAAATGGAGACAAGCCATGAAAATAAAAATGGAGGCCTTAGAGAAAAATCAGACATGGGAACTGGTAGAGTTGCCTAAAGGAAAAAATCCAATGGGGTGTAAATGGGTTTTCATTGTAAAATACAAGGCAGATGGTACTGTTGAAGTAGACCGGCATTTCATAAAGGAGAAACTAAACAGTGGGTTGATTTGTACACCTTATGTATCAACCAAGGTTCAACTTGCAGATGTGTTGACTAAAGGTCTCAGCAGTGCAACATTTCAAGAAATTATTTCCAAGCTGGGAATGGAAAACACCTATTCACCAGCTTGAGGGGGAGTGTGAGAAAACACTTATTTACAGCTGGTTGTAATTTGTAATCTGTATATTTATATTTGTATCTCTAGAATTAAGTATTTGTATCCCTAGAATTAAGGAAGATTTAGTTTCCTAGTTTAACCCCTAGTTAGTTGTATATAAACCTAAGATTCTTGTATAATTCAAGATAAGCAGTTTTTCAATATACATTCAGTTTCCACAAATAGATATGGTCCATCATTGCCTCAGCTGAAGGGTCTACATTGTAATAAAATCGACACCTAGAAACACAACACTCTGATGGTTGTACAAGGAACATGGCAGGTAAGAAACGCCAAGACTAGAACTCACCACATTTTGATTTTCAATACTTGTTTCTGGTAAATCAGTTTCTGTATTCAACTGGTTCATCTCCAAATTAAGCTTCATATTAGTTAAAGTTGACAAGTCGCCATCACTTAATATCACCTGCACCCGGTAAAACTACCATGATGTACATTATCATTTATCATCAAACTAATATGCATTCTTGTAATAGTAATGATTGCCAAAAGATTAGGAGACATTCCATCCAAGGAATACAAAACGTGCTCATTCCTAGCAAAATTTTAATCTCATTACCAGTTAAACAGAAAATGTGATTTCAGCGGGCTTTACCACAGAATAATAGCCAAGGCAATGAAAGATTAGCAATGACTAAAGTGCTTTTGGGGTTGAGGATGCACATTCGTTTGATGGTGATATGACCAACATAAAGTGATTACTCTTTTTTTATTTTTTGAAGGAAGAGTGATAATGTTGCAGAAGGTTTCCAGTTCAACTATCATTAACCAAAGCAAACACTTCAGTTTATAACTCATACCACAGCAATAAATATTAGGAAAATATATGATTCATTCAAAATTAAGCAACATTACACTATAATAAATAAAGTGATAATTTTCTAAATATACTACTCAATTAAAGAACAAACCTTGGAGGCATTTACATGAGCAAGACAAATTCCAATCAAACCAACACCGGATCCAACCTGTTTTTAATAATAAAAACCCTAAAGTAAATAGAAAAGTTGAACTTGAGATGCTACAGAGCCCACCAGCATGTATGAACAACTAACTTACCTCAAAACATGATTTCCCTGAGAAAAAATGTGGAAAAGAAAGTATCAACTCTGATAGGAAAAGACTGGATGGCCAAATTGAACACCTGTATAAACCAAAGCCATTATAAATCAATTCATCTTAGTTTACAAGCTAACTAAAAATATGAAAAAAAAAAAAAAGAAAGAAAGTAAGAATACCTATGATATGCATAACTGAAACCAAATGCAGCAATTATTATGCAACTACAGATACAAGCAAAATTTAAATAGTTAACAATCAGCAAATATTTTACTTTTCATGAGCAGTCCATCAGTTCTTTGAAGAAGCAATACACCAAATCAAATGTTAAGCATTCAAACAAATAAAATTCCAGAAAAGTTGAGAATAGAACAAAGCTAATGTGCAGAAGTATTATCTAAATTACCAATGAGGGAATGAAGGCAGTTTTTCAATGACTGATTGCAGCATGTCGCTCTATAATAGGGTATATGTATTGGATTCCATTCTCATCAGAGTAGGAATCATAGCCACTTGAGAAACAACAGTTTTTTGAAAGCTTGATTTGAGCTTATGCACTAGACTTGATACTCTATCAAAAACATTGATATTTCTCCCTCTCCATATCCACCAACATCAAACCTAATGTAATGCTTACCAAAGGACCCACCAACCTCCCCAATGTCATAAACATCGTATCATCAAATATCATAAGCAAAAAAACAGTTTTCTAGTTCCTGATGATGAAAAAACAGTGATTTTGAAAATACAACATGCAAGATAGAAATTACAGAACAAACATGAATCAACTAAACATACCCTGTATCTCCCTTAAGCATGTTGACCGAACATTGTAGTGGAACCACCAGTTTCCTTGATCTTGGACAACTTGGGAGTTCAAAACAATCTACATTCATGCAGTCAATATTCAAATGTGAGTTAATGCAAATAAACTGTAAAAGACCTCACAACTAGCAAGAGACTATTAGTATCTGTTACCACCAGGAAAAAGAAAAGAAACCCATTTGCAGACCCTCTCATTTTCTTTGACCAAATTATCATCCTAGAAAACAAGAAATTCCATCAAAAACAATGAAAGTTCCACAAACAAGAAAGTTTGAAAAGTGATGTAAAACCCCATTGGACCAAAAACTTTACCTTGACAGAAGTCATGTAGGAAGCATATTGTTCATATAATTCATCCAACACATTGCCATGGTTTGACTCAACCTCTGTAATAAGCTTCTTTACAAACTTCTTCAAATAAGATTCATTTCCTTTTCCTACCTGTTATAATTCACAACACTGAACCAAGCTTTAATGGCCATTAATTAAAAAAAAAAAATTATTGTAACAGAAAATTCAAGCGAAGTTTATAAATTTATAATACAATAAATAAATAAAGCTCACCGCTTTGGTTAGACAATGATCCCAAATAAAGCTTTGCACTTTATCTGATACCTTTCCTCCTCCACATTCCCTGCCAAATTTTTTTTTTTTTAATTTTCAAAATCAAACAAGCCAATTAAATTGATGATAAAAAAAAAAAAAAGGAAATTTTGATTAATTTAAGGTGCGCCGGAAAAGCTAAAATGAGCCGGATTTATGAAAGCAAACCTCGCTAAACAGAGTAAAGTATCGGTGGTTTCCATGGCGTGGAAGGCGGAGACCAGGTGGAGCCCTGGAGGAGCCGTCGAATCCAGCTCTTGTTCCGCCATCGTTGGCGCCCCTCTGGTCGTGGGTTTTTCAGAGGTTTTGGATTTTAAATCCCTGAAGGATATGGCCTAGCCCATGTTGGCCCATTTCTCCAATGGTCTTTAATTACCCATTTAAACAAAGCATAAATTTTTTTGGGCTTTTGTTTTGTGATTTGTAACCCACTTGGCCCAAATTAAAATGAAAATTTTGGATTTTTTTTACTTAATTTTTCATTATTTATTCTCTTTAGACGCGTAATTTAGAGTGCCGGTTAAAATACTTTCATCTTATATTTCAACTATGAACTGTTTTATATTTAGAATTTTTCTTAGGAAGATAATCGATCTGTTGTTATTTGGTATAAATAAATAATTAAAATTTTAATACATTTAATAGATATAAATAAATTTAAAAATATAGTATTTAAAATTCATATATATAATTTTATCTAATTTAATCAAATTAAATTCAGATGAGTTAAATAAAATATAAATAAAATTGATTATAATAAATAAAATAAATAACACTCAAGTCGATTTTCGAACATCTAATCAACGCGGATAGTAAGAGTGAATGGAGCAATGAAATATTGAATGTGGACTCTATGTTTGACCTATTGTACCGCGTATACTAACAATCTTTAAAATGTGTTTTTTTGGAAACATCCTCCATGGGTAGAATTGTACACATTTGACCTATTTTACCGTGTATTATGTTTGACTATATATATGTATAATCAGCTTGTTTCGTTTAGAGCAAATTATTAACACACATTTCATCAATTCCTTGCTGGTTAATTACCATGTATCAAAACCATTGATTTCTCCGAGATATATGTCATTAACTCCCGTTTGTCACTTAACTTCTTGCCATGCTGTGGACATCGATTTGCAATGTCCAGAAGACAGCTTCTGGCCATGTAAGATGGTTGAGATTAGCGTGAAGGCAACTTTCATAACTGCCTGCCAAAAAACCCAGGTCAAGGAAGAAGAAGGGGAGAAACTGCATGTGGTCGAGTCCCACTGGTTAGCACTAGATCAGTTGATAAACGATGTTGTCGAAGCTAGAGACTGGTACGACACCAACATTTGGGACGTATTCGACTCCATGCAAATCCCCATCCAACGTTCCACGCTAGATAAAATCGTTGGCTGTGCCCTTGACATGGCGGCTACGGAGAGTTACAAGAACCGTAGGGTGTTGCGAATGCGGGTGGAGATTGAGGCATTGGTTGATGAACAGCCAAATTTGGAGGAAGGGGATGCTTATTGTGTCGATGTGGAGGCTGATGATTTTTGGGAGACGGTGGGGGCGTTTAGGAGGCTGAGGAAAGTGGTGGTCGAGAAGCCTGATGAAGAGAATGTATGTTCGATTTGCTTGTCAGGGTTCTTTGTGGGTTCGGAAATTAGTGCTACACCTTGCTCTCACGTTTTTCATGATCGTTGCATTAGAGCTTGGCTAAAGAAATGTAATAAAAAATTTTGTCCTAATTGTGTTACCATGTTGGCCTAGGTAGGTATAAGGAATTACCATGTTGGAAGAAAGGGAATCATCGAGCATGGTTTCCTGAATAACATGCAAATTCAGAATACTTTAGGTACGTTTTCATGATGTTTAGTTGGTCATGAACTGATGTAATGTCGTTGGTCTCACATATTTGCAACATGAGATATGTCGAATGCTGAAGTAAGAACTGATATGTGAACCCTTTGCCTGATTCGTTGCTACTCTCATGGGGTTGCGCAGCTAGCTTTTTGGTCAAAGAACATCACACTTTAGTGTCCTGTTAGATGCTAAAGGTTCTTCCAGGATCCTAATACCTCTGAGGATTGCATTATAAGAGAACTTCTCTGCCTACAATTATTGCATGTGTACCACGACTGATGACCATTGCATGCTAAAGTCTCTCGCTGTTGCAAAACCATGACTTTGCAATGGGTGATGTTGTTTGTCTACTTGTTTAGGGTGCTAAGTCTCGGTCTCGATTGTCATGTTCCATGGAACAAATCTGGGAACCTATCATTTTAAGGATGACCAACAATTGCCCCGAAGCAAAACAAGTTGTTTTGCTGATCAAGAATATTAGAGCTAGAAATACAAGAAAAGTAATGGAGTAAGAACACAGATACAATAAAGAGTTACAAGGTAAATATGTTAAAACCAACCGTGGAAGGGAAATTCATCACTTTGCTTGTAGAGTGGTGCTCATTTCCCTGAAACAACCTCAGGATTCCAATAATTTTCACTGAAATTAGAGTCCTAAATCACAATAATCCCCGGACTTTGTATGTTTCAAGTGTTTTTGTTCTTTGATTGACTTAATAAGACAACAGGAAGATAGCAAAAACTTTGCTTTTTGACTTTTCTCCTTGGCTTCAAAGCAAACTCTTCCCATTGCCCATAAAATCAATCAAAAGACTGTTCCTTTCATCATTGTAACCTTTTACTCAGTGTTTGCTAGTTTGAGCAAATATTCACTCCAAGCCATGGCTAACAACACCTCTCTTATCCAAATCATAACCTCGTTTTCCATAATGTTCTCTGTAGCAAATTCTGTTGTCTCCAATAACCCGGCTGTTTTCAACTTCGGTGATTCTAACTCTGACACAGGTGAACTTGTTGCTGCGCTTGGTGACATCTTGGACCTTCCCAATGGTCAGACTACTTCAAGACTCCGTCTGGAAGATTTTGTAATGGTCGGCTCATCATTGATTTCCTGAGTAATGCTCTCATCTCCACTTCAAACCACATGAAATTATGCAACCAATTGGAACCCATAGTTGTTAAGAGTATCGAATTTTTAATTCCGGTAATCAGGTTGAAATCCTAATGGTCCGTATAAAAAAAAGATCGGAACCCATTTTTATTAACTACTGCTATCCATAAAATTCTTAACAATAATTGCATTATATACTTCCTCGTATGGTGATTATTTGATACAAGTGAAAAAGTACGGAACATCTGAGAATGGGGCACCATTCCAACCCTATAGTTTACAAGAGGACAAAAAAGAAATGGGTTTTGATTTGGTGATCGTTTGGGCAACTTTTGCTTGCCGCAATTGAAAGGAAACTTCCACTGGCTGGGACACATACGACCAACCAAACTTACATTATTTATAGTTGGCAACAAACATAAAAAAGTGTTAAGCTACAAGCACTGGACCCTGGTGATCCTGCCGAAAAGCCATGGCTTCCAAGACTCACATTCTCCAAATATTTTCCTTGGTGTTCATCTTCTTGCCTTTAACCAATTCCATTCACTTCAAATTCCCTGCTATTTTCAACTTTGGTGATTCTAATTCTGATACGGGTGAGCTAGTTGCTGCCGGAATTGAAAGCCTTGAGCCACCTCATGGACAAAGTTACTTCCAAACACCGTCCGGAAGATACTGTGATGGCCGTCTTATCATTGATTTTCTCAGTTAACTTTCCAACTGTTTTCACAAGTTGCATTGCATTTAGAATTTCTATTGCATATGCAGTTTTGTTCATCATTACACTGCTTCACCCCATCATATTTGCATGTTACCCAGCTTCTCTGTTTCATCTGTTTTCTAGGAGAAACTAGTGTCTTTTGTTCTTTCCTTATTTTATGGCTATTCTTTTTAATATTTTTCATATAGTTCTTTGTTTACTGGGATATTTGTTGCAGTGGATGCAATGGATCTGCCATTTCTAAATGCTTATCTAGATTCAATTGGCACACCAAGTTTCCGCAAAGGATGCAATTTTGCAGCTGCAGGATCAACCATACAACCACCTACTGCAGAATCTGTCAGTCCATTTTCTTTCGGAAATCAAGTGGCTCAGTTTGTACGGTTCAAAGCTCGGGTTCTTGAATTGTTAGCTAAAGGTGCACACATAGATCATCATCTAGAGAATGCATTTATCTTTATTTGCAATGATGCATTTATTTTAACTGAGAGCATAAACCTTACTCACGGTTGGAAATCTAATAGATACACCAGCACTTTTCATTTAATTGCAGGTAAAAAATTTGGTAAGTACCTTCCAACAGCAGATTATTTTCAGAAGGGGCTCTACATGTTTGATATAGGCCAGAATGATCTTGCTGGTGCCTTTTACTCTAAAACTTTTGATCAAATACTTGCCTTAATTCCTTCAGCCTTGACAGAATTTGAAACTGGAATAAAGGTAAGCTTCAAGAACACTACGTTAGTACTTATTGCATTAAGACTTTATTTAGTTATTTGTTTTTCATTGTCAAGGTTTCCATGTTTTCTCATGCAGTTCCTCCATATTGAGAGACATATTTTATTATCATGATGAGAAATTGAGCATCTTAATCCTTGAATCCTTTGGTTTTCCTTGTAGACACTATATGATCAAGGGGCTAGGAACTTCTGGATACATAACACAGGACCTCTTGGATGCTTAGCTCAAAATGTTGCCAAATTTGGAACTGATCCATCTAGCCTTGATGAACTAGGATGTGTCAGCAAGCACAACCAAGCTGCTAAAGTCTTCAATCTGCAGCTCCATGCCCTATGTAAAAAGTTGCAGGGCCAGTACACAGATTCGAATTTTACATACGTCAACATCTACACAATAAAATCCAACCTTATAGCAAATTATTCTAAAGTTGGTAAGTATGATGTGGTACTTTCTAGTGATGCGAGTTTTATTTCCTCTCTTAATTTAGTTTTTATTGCAAGTAATTTCAGGATAAGCAAAGTTGCATTCTTTAGTCCTACAGGGATTTCAAATAGAATAAATTAAACTTATGCTTTTCTATGGTATGAGATTGCAATAAGAGGTTAACGAGGGGCACAAGTATGGAATCGAAATGATTTTGAGTGCTTACCGTTTTGCAGGATTTGAACAGCCAATAATGGCTTGCTGTGGATATGGAGGTCCACCTTTGAATTATGACAACCGAATTGGTTGTGGGAAAACAAAAGTCCTTAATGGAACCTCAGTGACAGCCAAAGCATGCAATGATAGTTCTGAATATGTTAATTGGGATGGAATTCATTATTCGGAGGCTTCAAATCTGTATGTTTCATCACAAATACTCACCGGAAAGTACTCTGATCCACCCTTTTCGGACAAAATGCCGTTCCTTCTCAATCTCAAGTTCTGAAGGCCTAATTTACTCATTTCTGTGACTCTTTTTATTGACTTCTAGCAGTCATTGCAAGTGTCATTGATCAAAACTTACTCTAAAGAATTATAATTTGGGACTGGAAGTTTCCATTTGCACAAAGGTAAATTATATACTGTCTGCTTATGTGTGGCATATGCAGCAAAACTCCCGTCTATGGACTTAAGCTATACATGTTGAAATTTTATGCTAAATGATATGCAGTTAAAATCGTTCATCATGAATGAAAAGGATGACATGTCACTGTATAGTTGTATCACATCAAGGGAAAATATTGGTTTCATTTTTTGATTTGTGGCCATAACAATTCTAATTATGCCGATTATAGGAGTAGATAATGAATGTTCTATAATACAGCTTTGTTTAGATCAAACATTATACTGATTCCGGTTTTCTGAATATGAACCAAAAATCTGTGCTACTGCTTGGATTGCAAGTTTCTCATCAACAACCTTTAACATGATCAATTGTGTAACTACATGTCATACATGTTTCCCCATCAATTGTTTCACTACTTGTTACACAGATACCCTTTACTTCTTGGAGACATAAGCATAGTATTGAGCCATGGGAACAACAAAAGCAATCACCAACAAACCTCCAACTACAAGACTGAATTGTCCTCGTTTCTCTTCCGTCTCTTCCCTGGTTTTAAAATTGGACTCACGCTTATTGTCCTTAACCTTGGGGCCACCAGTATCTGGAAGTCCATCAATGGCAGCAACTAGCCGCTTGGCACTGCTGTAAATGGCTTCATTGTACTTTTCTTCTGTAGCCAAAACTGCAATTGAGAGAACAGTAGGATCAGTATAACTGCAACAAAAGAAATCAAAGGAAAAGAAAGATTATTTCTGTATATGAAACTTTAGCTCATCTCTCTGCTAGTGGTTGTTTGATCTCTCACTGTAAGCTATACCAATAGCATTAAGGAAACTTGTAGGAACAGCAAACAAAATGGTTTGAGAGAAAGCAAACAAGTTCATTAACTTAAAATGAAAACCAAATATCTAAGCATTTGAGGCTATCTTCAGTGACTAGATGTTGCACTGACCAAGTTTATGCTTCATGTTGGCATCTAGAACTAGAAGTCTACCATTAAACCTATCCCCAGTAATCTTTGGATTCTTGTGTTTTCAAGTTCAAGGTCCTTAATAGAGTTACTGGTCTGTTGCTACTATTGTTTCGTCCAGATTGCTCATAATACGCATTTTCAGAATTTCCAAATGCAGGACTAAAGAATATAAGAAGTTTTTCAACTTCAGTTTCAGACTTTCAGCTACAAAAATAAAAGAAAATTCACCAGGAAGGTTCTCTGATACAGTAGCATCAAGAATATTTTCTCCCACAGCTTCGACAAAAGGAGGTCCACCAGTGACTGCGCCTTCTTTTTGGCTTGTAACAAGCACAACAATACCTTTATTACTACCCTCTTCAAGTGTGGGATACCAACGCTCCAAAACTTGGTCAGCATACTCGAAAGCATCAGCTTTGCTCTGCAGTCAAATCTTATCAATCTTCAGTATCAAGAATCACAAAACCCTGGTTGATTTATCATAATTTTCGAACTTTGCATCTGTTTCACAAGTTAAAAGCAATCCTATATTCTCACTGTTTACTGAGAAACTCAAAGTAATGGAAAAGAAATTAATGGGATTATGAATTCATGTATATTCTATGTTATGGTTCCCTGTAAGAAGCAAGTCAAATTAATTAATCAGGTTGTCTACAAAATCAGTTGGATTTTAATGAAGCTAAACATCTAAAACTGCATAGACTTTCATTTGTTCTTCTTCCTTTTACTTGGTTTTCTAAGTGAACAAGCAGATATTTAATGACTGAAGTTTCTATTATTTCTTACTCATTGCATATTCCTATAATTCACTGTAATTCAGCAAATGAACAATAACAATAACAGGCCAACAAAAGGGCATCTTATAGAAGCTGGAAACTCACAAGTATACAAGACTAAGATAACAAATCAATTCATGAAAACAAGATCTTACTGTGAGCTTTCTAACAGTGATAAAAATAATGTGGAAGTTCTTCCTTGACTCCAAATCAGATAAAAGCTGCTTCAAATCAGATTTTGTCACTCTGCTAAGCACATTAGCATCATCAACAACATAGGAGTCCTTCGGTGGCCCCTCATTAATTACATCAAACTCTGATGCCAATGCATTGCCAGTGTACAGGACTGGAGAAAAATTGAGTGCCAAAGAGATAGCTAGAGCTGCTAGTCCTTGCTGTGCATGAACAAACCAATTTTTTGGTTCTGCCAAAGATGGTTTTAGTGATTGGGAAGCGTGTTTCTTGAGGCTACAAGTAAAGGGTTTTGAGAGAAAGAGAGAAGTGGGTCTTGAGTGAAGTGAAGGAGATAAAAGGTTCTTAGAAATGGATGCTTTTGGATTCAAAATTGGAGAAAGAGGGTGAGAAGAGAGAATGGTTACCATGTTAACTGTTCACCAGCTGGTGGATAGGAGAGAACTGAAAATTTTTTAAAAAATTAAAAGACAGAAAACCAAGATTTTGCAGTTGCAATGTGCTTCTGGTTACTGTTGGGTTTAGAATGTTTGAGTGGTCTGGATTTTGTCCTGTTTTGGATTGGTGGCCATATTTTTCTGGAGGATAATGTCTACCAGCCACGTAGATAAACAAGGGTATATTGGACTAATCATGATTTGTCAGGACTATCCCCAAGGGCTTCTCTGAGACATATTATTTTCAATTACATAAAATGACCACAATGCCCTCCTATAGGTATTAAAACATGGGACATAACTACCATAACTAGTAACTCTCCCACGTTATCTACTTGTCCCATTAAGAGGCATGAACTCTATCTTCCCTCCCTCAGGCTCATGGCCCTTCTTATCTTCTTGTCTCTACACCCTCCGAACCCTCCTCAAGGCCCCCAACTTAACTCTCTCATCACTCCAGTTCCAACAACCGTCATTAAAACTCTCAATACTAAGAGACAGTTTATCACTAATACTACTTCGGTTTGCATCAATTTTTTGGCCCAACAAAACCCACTTCCACAATCTTTAGCCGAAACCTCCACACCTTCTAAGCCAGCTTTAAACATTGCAAACACCAAATCTTGGTTCCAATTCTATGGTGATGGTTTTGCCATTAGGGTTCCTCCTGAGTTTGAGGACATCATGGAGCCTGAGGTACATATATTCAACGGATCATGAACTTTTATTTAGCAGGCATTTTAATTAATTGCATTTAGTTATATTTTGCTGCCTTCTGTTTATCAATATGCAAAATTTTGAATTTTATAGTTTCCTCTCTTTGGCCAATGTTGCCATTCTCAGATAATTTCAGCTGCATGTAAATTGTAACTTTATGCAGAATTTTAATGTACTTGATTACCCCTAAAAGCATTTAGCCTCAAAGTCTAGTTGCTTGTTCTCTTTATTTGATCTACTATCAACCAGGTAGTCTCAGTAAGAATTAGGGAATGACATTATTGTTTAATTTGTCTGGTTTAGGGTTTTCAAAACATAATGATTGAAATCCAATCTATGCATTTATTTTATACTTTTGATTGCTAACAGTCTACTTGACTAGTTCTTGCTTACAGCAAAAGTCCAATTCATGCCACTAGTTTTGATGCATAGTTTTTTCAATTTAATGCTTCATTCTGGCTAACTCTACTGCATTCTTATATTCTGGCTATGTTGTGGCATTAAGCTGCAAAAATAGATGTTCAACACTCATTTACCAAAACCTTTTAACTAGTTCTTGCTCACAGCAATAGTCCAATTCATGCCATTAGTTTTGATGCATAGTTTTTTCCATTTAATGCTTCATTCTGGCTAACTCTACTGCATTCTTATATTCTGGCTATGGTCTGGCATTAAGCTGCAAAAATAGATGTTCAACACTCATTTACCAAAACCCTTTGTTGTTTATGGAAGATAATATTGGATTTAAAACTGAATTATGACCAATATTTTTAAAGGTGATAGAGTTTTGTTGATAAACTTAGTCAATTGCTCAATATCTGTAGGATTTTAATGCTGGAGCATCCCTGTACGGGGACAAAGCAAAGCCTAGAACTTTTGCAGCACGATTTGCAACTACTGATGGGTATATATTCAGCTTTATACCAAGTTTCCTTCCCTTTTCTTTGATGTTTTGTTCATATGTGTTTTCTGTATGATCAGATATGCAGAAGCTTATGCTCCCTAAGATTAATTTAATAATTATGGATGAAGCATGCACAGAAAAGTTTAGTTTATTGAGACTTCTCATATTTTCAGTTTGTATTTGATTTCTGTCATTTTGGCATACACGCAGATCTGAGGTTTTGAGCGTTGTCATTCGCCCAACCAATCAACTCAAAATCACCTTCCTAGAGGTTTGTTTCATGAAGCTTCTTATTAGAAATAGACTAGCTCCAAGAGCATATGTTAGTTGTTGTAATATTAGGATTTCTGCCATGGTTGACTATAATTAATGAATGCCATATAGAATGAGTTCGAAATGATATTGAATCATATCTTGTAGAATTATAGAACTAATATGATCTGTTTCATCTATTTGGAATATTTTGCTATCAGCTCTCCAGAGAACTAATATGATCTATTCCTACTTGAGCAGGCCCAAGATATTACTGATTTGGGTTCCATAAAGGAGGCAGCTAAAATATTTGTACCAGGTTGGCTATATCTAAAATCTTCATCCCGGGTTGATTTAGGTTCCGTAAAAGTTATAATTTCTGTCTATGAATTATCATGTTGGAATAAATGACCACTAGCTTTCTTCTTGACTTCTGTCATCTTTACTATTGGTCTTGAATTCTAGTAATGATGCGATGGCAGGTGGAGCAACTCTTTTCAATGCCCGAACCATAAAAATAAAGGAAGATGAAGGTTTCAAGTAAGTTATAGCTTCAAGCATTCAAGACTATTGTAAACTATGGATAATTAATCCAATTACTTAAAAAAATACTATAATTTCTTTTTTTTTCAGTAAGTAAAAGCAATCGAGCGAATAACAGAATGTAGATTACACTTAAGCAAAAGCTAATCCCCTTCTTTCCTGCTCACATTTTTTCATCACTACTGTTATAAGGTAGTGTCTCTCAGACTTTTAACGAGATGGAAAAGGAAAAGAAAAGAGTTTCAGCTTTTGTAACTATGCACCTTAGATGACAGATAAGCATCGTGTCTGTTGCTCCACAAAGTTACAAAGGATAAGGAATATAAAGAAGAAAAGTTATTTAAAGCATGTGTGTCTGAATTTGATGTCAAATGTGCTTTGTCTCATAGTCTGGTGTATGATACTGAAACGCTTGATTCATGTCAGGACTTACTATTTCTATGAATTTGGAAGAGATGAACAACACATTGTACTAGTGGCCACTGTTAACAGTGGAAAGGTATGTTTTTGAATACTCTTGATTGTTAGTATGACTGTTATTATTTCCATAATTATGACCCAAAGGTTCTTCTCTTGCCAAAAGATAAGCCAATATAAATCGTGGTAGATTGCCTTAAGATGGTGCATGAAGGGTTAAGCTTAAGGTTGATTGTTTTTTACCCGACATCAGGGTGTCCTGTATTGATACTCAGATCAGTCAACTTAAATTTCAGGAATTCAGTTTTTACTAGAGATTTTGATGCAAAAAATCATATATATTTATCATTCTCATTTGATGCAGGCTATTATTGCTGGAGCAACTGCTCCACAGTCCAAGTGGGATGATGATGGAGTGAAGCTACGTTCTGCAGCAATCTCATTGACAGTTCTGTAGCCCTTTGCACAACAACTTATTTGGCAGGTTTGTTGAGTTGCGTATCCAATTTGTACAAGAAACAGATTGGTTTAGGAATTGATCTGTGGTCATTATCTTAACATAGACTTCATATAAGAGATTCATCAGCCTTTTTTGTCCTTTTCTGTTTAATTGACAATTCTCGATTCATTTCTAGTCTTCATGTGGGCAGCCCTATGTCTTGCTTAACATCAACCCTTAACATCTACTGAAGAATCAGTGCCTAAAAAACTCATGTTCTCCACCCCAACAATCTTTCACGGTCACGGACAAAACCAACATAGGAAAGACATCGGTTTGGGCAAAGCATTGTCCTTGAGAACATGAATATGTAAGTAGTTTTGAGTGAACCACTATCTTTCTTCTAGCTATAATGAGAATTATCTGCCAAAATCAACATGCAGAAAGCTCTTTTGCATTATTGGGTAATTCCCCAAGTCATGACAACATAAAGGGTCATTTCCTATGTATTTTCTATATCCTTTTCCTCACAAAAATGGTGGGGAAAAATATTATTGAATCCCATGTCCAAATCACAAGTTGTTATGAAAGGAAATTTTTATTCAGATTCAAGTTAGCACTATCACTAGGTAACACTAGAGAAAATCAGCTTTATGCAATTTTAACTTAGCCTGTTGCACCCAGTGCACAAGGCTCCCCACTTGTGAGGGTACGCAGCTTTTTCTTTACATTTTTGTAGAGAGACTGTTTTCAGGATTCAAATCTGTAATCTACCGGTCACAAAGACCATTGCTCCAAGGCTCGCCTTCTTGTTTTGTGATACATAAGGGAAATATATATATATATATATATATGTATGTATGTATGTTTGTATGTATATTGATCATTGCCATTCATAAATATAATCTCAATCATCACTTTAGCTTTTTGACATTCTTATTATTTGGTGTTCACTTTCACTTTTTCTTTACACGATAAAATATTTTAAAATGATCCAATCTTAAAAATATTTAATTTGAAGCAAATCAAATTCGAAAAAAAAAATTTTTAATAAAAATTTTAAAAACAATCCGTCCAATTTACAACTTTATGTTACATTACATATATGGCATTGAAACTATAACATATATCGCAGATCTTTTTGTCCGGTGGTTGATTATCCAACATTATTAATTTAAAAGAACTGATTAACTATGATTCAATCATTGCAAAAGGAGCCCTGACTTTTAGCCTTTAAGCTTTAATTTCTGCTGCTAACATGCATGAATGTAAATGGCTACGTTATTTTATTTAAATCATCTGATGAATTCTCATCATACCTTTTTTTATTGATTATCAAACTATTTTATCATTGAATTTTTAAAAGTTCAAGGATAATACGATACAATTATTTTCTCCATCATCCACGATAAGCATGAGTCAATGGATCCTCATTTTTCTTTTTTCTTTTTTTAATTCAATAAAGAGATTAGCTTGAATCAGTGGATCACATTTTCCTTGTTTTTTTTTATTATTATTCAAATTCAAGAAAGAGTTTTAAAGAAATGAAAAAATCCAACGGTGCCAGCTAACAGCCGTATCAACCACACACACCCTTTGGTGAGTAATAATCTCCTGTGGGTAGAGTCAAGTTATTCAGCTATTCCCCTCCGCTGAATCCTTAACATGAACCCAACATATGAAAGGTCAATTGGTCCACTTTTGACTATTTTCTTATTCCAAAAAGAACCCATTATTTATTTTTCCTCAAGTAATTAACATTTTGACGTGGCAGAGTTTTATTGAGCCATTTGGCAGATGTAGGATTATAGAACCATGCTGACAATGCACAACAAAATCCCCCAAGCACCTACCAGTCTTCCCTCCAACTGTAGCTTTAAAACTCGTATGAATCCTTAACCTTCGCAAAACATCAGTTGTTTTTGTTGTCTTCTTGAAACAGTAGTTTCATAAAAAACCTTTAACCTTTTGCTCCAATCTCTTCAAAAAACCAACTTTTTTTTTGTGAATGCAAATTTCATTTACAGACCCTCAAATATGTCCAACTTTGAAGCTTTGTCACATCTTTCAACAACCCAAAGTTCATCAGATTTTCTTAGTACTAGCACCATCATTGCACTTACTGTCTTCTTTTCACTTCTTTGTGCTTGTATCATCATAGGGCATCTGCTCGAAGAGAACCGGTGGGCTAATGAGTCTATCACAGCTCTTCTTTTGGTATGTCAAGTTGTTTTTCATCTTGGATTTTGGTCATTGTTTTGGTGTTAGAATTGTGATTGATTTCTGTGTGGTTTGGATGTAGGGGTTGTGTGCTGGAGCTGTGGTATTGTTAGTGAGTAAAGGCAATAGTTCCCGGATTCTAGTGTTTAGTGAGGACTTGTTCTTCCTTTATTTGCTTCCTCCAATAATTTTCAATGCTGGGTATGGTTTTCTCTGATCATTTCTATGTGAATTTGATTGGTTGAAGAGAAGATTTGATTGCTTCAAAACAAGTGTTTTGGGGTTTATGTTAATTGAACCTGGGAGATGGGATCCAGATTTTTTGTGCTTAATACATTGTTTCAATAAGTTTCCGGGAAAATAAAGTTCCATAAATGAAGATTGGAAATGAAATTTGGCTGCAGATTCCAGGTCAAGAAAAAGCAGTTCTTCAAGAATTTCACAATAATATTGATGTTTGGAATATTCGGTACAGTAATTTCATTCTGCCTCATATCACTAGGTAAGATCTACTATTCTCTTTACTACAAACTTGGGAAATTTTGATTGTTAATCCTGAAATTCAACATAGTTGATACATATTTGAAGCTTTAATGACTAATTCTGTTATCTGATATGCTCTAGAAACATGGTCCTAACTTGGTTAATATTTGCTGGGAACATTGCAGGTGCCCTTTTGCTGTTCAAGAGAATTGGTGTGACATCCCTGAGTACTCAAGATTACTTAGGTGACATTAATATAACAAATTTGCGATACCTATGCTGCCTGCATCTTGATTCTCCAACACTGACAGTTTCAGTTTCCTAATGCAGCTATTGGTGCCATATTGTCAGCAACTGATTCAGTGTGTACATTGCAGGTAAATTCGATAAACTTCTGCTACTATTAATATAAATATAAATTTGTTATGACACTAACGCATGGGATTGTTTCTTGTGTAAAAGGTTCTCAATCAAGATGAAACGCCCTTCCTCTACAGTGTTGTATTTGGGGAGGGAGTAGTGAATGATGCTACTTCTATTGTGCTTTTCAATTCAGTTCAATCAATTGATTTCAGCAACATCGATGCCACAATATCCTTGAAACTCTTGGGGACCTTTCTTTACCTCTTCTTCTCCAGTACCATTCTTGGTATAGTAGTAAGTCATCACATCTGTTTGGTTCGCTTACTGAAAGATTTTTTGATGAACATGCTTTGGCTTTCTTCCTTTAACTTTTGGATATGGCCTATGGGGATGGGTTTTTTTGCATTCTCTTATAGTCACAACTCTAGGCTAAGTCCATCCCTTGAATTTTCTTATTTCTTCCAGTCAGGAACAAGTTTTCTTTCTTTATTGTTATTCTGACAAATGACCTTAACAAATGTTCCGGTCCAGTGTGTATTTATGCAAAAATTTTACTTCTTTTCTAAGTCCAAATTTTCCCTGCTTAAGGCTTTGAGCATTAGCTAGAGTCAGAAAGCCGAATCAGACTCACAATTTTATCTTATTTCATGCTAAATTTGAAGTTTGAGGGCTTCATAAGCCTTCAATAAATGCTAAATTGTTCAATGCTGATGTTTCAGGCTGGTCTTTTAAGTGCTTTTATCATAAAAACACTCTACTTTGGAAGGTATGGATGCCCTCTTTTGGCCAATTGTCGAAGCATTTGTTAGTAATAATTGTTCTAGACAATTCATGAGCAATGTTATAATTTCCTTTCTGTTCTTAAAACATAGGCATTCAACAGACCGGGAAGTTGCACTCATGATGATCATGGCATATTTATCATATATGCTGGCTGAGGTACAAATAAGAGAATCTCAAAATTATTTCTTAGTTCCATTTCATTTTCTTCTTCTTTTGTAGGAAGAAAAAATCACAATGAATTTGAAACAGGAAAGAAGTCTGGAATTTGGATTTAAAACCAACATTAGAGATGTTTTGGTGACTTTGCAGTCGATTTCTCAAGTGAATAAATTTATTTTCTTCTTGCAGCTACTGAGTCTCAGTGGAATTCTGACAGTTTTCTTCTGTGGCATTGTCATGTCACACTACACTTGGCATAATGTTACTGAAAGTTCGAGGATAACAACAAAGTATGAGCATTCTCCTTTTGTTTTCTCTCCTGTTATTTGAAAATATATGCATCTTTGAGCATAACAGTCACCAAATCTGGTTAATTGATCAATATCTAAGGAGTTCAAAGAACATGTTTGACTGCAATTTACGATGATCTGTCACCTTAAAACTAATTTTCTACCAAGTGATTAATTTCTGCAACTTAATATTACCCTCTGGCCAGTGGTTCTAGTTGTCAAAGATATCACCATTAAAATGCTACAAATAGATGTTGATGCCATGCATATCTATGAATGAGTTTGATGGATTTCCTTTGACATGTTATTCTTCATACTGGTTGACGATTTCAGGCATGCATTTGCAACTATTTCATTCATTGCAGAAACATTTATATTCCTATATGTAGGCATGGATGCCTTGGATATTGACAAATGGAAAGCCAGCAGTGCAAGGTTATTTTCTTTCTGATGTATCCTTTGAGCAAATTAGTCGTTTGATTGAGCAGCAAGAATAACTTATGGTTCTAACTTGCATCATCATATTCTCGATTCAGTGCAGGAACTTCAGTTGCTGTTAGTTCAACACTGTTAGCATTGGTATTGGTTGGGAGGGCAGCGTTTGTATACCCCTTGGCAAATTTCATTAATTGTATTAAAAACCGAGACAGTTCAAAGATTGAGTTTCGACAACAGGTGATAATTACAACCATCCAAGCATTTAGCTAATGTCAAACAGTTCTAAACCAAACTTTTCTAACTCTTTGCATTCTCAGTTTATAATGTGGTGGGCAGGCCTCATGAGAGGTGCAGTTACTATCGCACTGTCTTACAACCAGGTAAATTGCCAGATCCTGATTTTGGTTTACATTGCTTCTTTCTTTGTTGATATTAAGTTCAGAAAGACTCCATTGCAGTTCTCAAACTCTGAGGATACGGATACAGAGGATACAGCACTAATGATCACCTCTACCATAATTGTTGTCCTGTTTAGTACCGTGGTAACTTCATATCCTATTTCTGCAACATATTGAACTTGTCCTGTTAGGAACATTGATATAGAATTCTTGTTCTGGAACAGGCCTTTGGTTCCATAACGAAACCATTGATCGAAGCAGTGCTACTACGACATTCAAAACCAAATATTTCAGATGCAACTGATATTCCCAGCCTAGATGACTTAAGAATTCTGTTCCTTGAAAATGATGAACCAAGTGAGTTGGGAGAGAATCGACCAGCAGCCCCAAGGAGAAGTAGTTTAAGGTTGCTAATGACTCACCCAACTTGGACAGTCCATTACTTGTGGAGAAAATTTGATGACAGATTCATGAGGCCAGTTTTTGGTGGAAGGGGTTTTGTTCCATTTGTGCCTGGTTCACCCACTGGTGCAGCTGATGAAACTTCAGGAATCTGAAGAATCAACAAGCATGAAAATTTTTCAATTTTTTGATTTGTTGAAGATGTTAGATTAATTGTTTTTCCTATTCCCCAATATAAAATAGTAAGAGTCTATTTTTGTAAAGTAGTGCAAATTTAATTATCAAAACATCATTCCACGAGGGCTGTTCAAGTAGATTTGAAGAAAATGTCATGTCTTCACAAAATTATCGAAAGCAGTTATGGAGAATATGTTCTCTGTATTGTTCTATTCCTTCTACATGCTGTCACTCTTATTGCTTCTCTAAGATTTTTCTCTTTACCAGTTTTTTATGTGTTAGTTAGGCTACAAACATCATCTTGCTTTCTAATTTATACTTAAATCTTACATGATACTTTGTTTGACTTCTGATAGATACTTTGTTTGATTTCTGATAGCCACTCAAGAATGAAATTAAGCAAAGATAATCTCTCTGGAGTAAGGTTTAGTGAGAGGTAGTTGAACCTATTGTTAATATACAAACTTTGTGAGCCCGAATGGTTAGTATCCAACTTATTATTTCTTTTAAGGTGTTGCTTGTCCCCGTATCGTATTTGAAATCCTACTTTTCTGTGAACTAAATAAAAATACTTGGATCACGATAACCAGACAAACGCCGCTGACCCATGCTTGCAATGTGTGTTTCGTAGAAAGAAATGTCATAAATAGTTTCTCAGTTTGATTATTTTCAATTGCCATCAACTACAAAAATTGCTGCAGCAGTTGATTTAGGTGTATCCAATTTTTTATTATTGGTGCATTGTGGCCAGAAAAGGCTCTGTTAGTTGTATGGATGTATTTTATATTATAAATGAATTTAGTTACAACCAATGGAATGGGACCATTTAGATAAGGTTGTAATATGGCGGATTTTCGTCTCTTTTTTTTTTTGTACCATAAAGATGCTTCAATGGAAATAAAGGAAATCGATTATCAGTATCACCTTGTCTTTATTTTAACTAAAGGCTTCTGGTGATTCTATATTACAGATTGCTGTTGATAAGAATGACATTAATAAAGCATTCATACAACTTACTCTTTCAGTTCCTGACTAAGGAGGTATACTGATTCTACTTCAACTTCCTCCACTTCTTTGTTTGGTTACACACATGTTGATACACATGCATATTGATGAACCTATTTAAAGCATAACATAGTCAACCCATACTTTGATGATATCCATACTCGGTATGCTGCTTTTGCAAGATTGCAGCCATACCTGACCATGATTGAGAATTAATATTTTGTTGTTTATTAGATGAAATTTATCTTATGTTATTGATGCCGCAGCAATAATTTTATAAGACCACTTGTTAATTTCCTGTAATAGATACAAGCATGATCATGGGTTGACCTGGACAATGTCTCTGTTGTTTTGGCAGAAATTTGAAGCATATGATTCAAAAGGTGCAGTTGTTGCTGGGGGAAATTTTTGAAGCATATCACTATTGGTACCATGATTATGTTTTAAAGTGTGGCCTCCTCGGCTTCAGTTTTGCTTATAATTCTTGCCTGTGTTAACAGGTTCTTGTCCATGCTATCTTGGTATTTGTGAAGTCTCTCTTTCATCCTGGAGCTTACTGGCGTCTCTGTGGGCAATTTAAAGTGTGAGACAGCTATTATTGACTGCAGACTGATATTTGTGATGCTGATGATGAATAATTTACTCTTACCCAATTTTGTTTGCTGCGCATGTTGTAATTTATGCAATCCTTATAATGCATGTACCATCCATTTTGATAGACACAAATTTCAGGGAGCAATTTCTTTGAAGACTAAATGAAATGAATGAGTAGTAGTTTACAGCTTAGTGTCCTGTCTGTCTAATTTCTCTCCTCATACAATCCTTCTTGTTCTTATGGACAAATCAAATGCCTGTCCAACAATATATCATCTTTCTCCCAAGGTGAAGAGGAAGAACTAATTCAGTATTATATTCCAGGATTATAACTTGCATCAATCATGGCTTTGTTCTTATTTGTAATCTTAATTCCACTTCTTATATTCCTCTTAAATCATTTGCATCAATCGGGATTACTTGCGTCGATCCATCGAATACCAAACATATTTTTGGTTTATGCTAAAATGTTAAACCATTTCATTTTCGTGTATCATCATCTAGTGTTTCAGATTGCTGGATGCATGCTTTATGTAGAAGCAATAGCCAATAGGAAAGACAAACACTTGGGGTTTAGAACTTGGGAAGTCCATTAAGAAAAGAAAAGTATCTCTCCCAAGTGGTTTTCCCTTGCTTCCAAGTAAAGCATCCATGAAATGATTTAACCTTCCCTCCATTTCCATTGGCAGATCAGATTCTAAAATAATCATATACTCTTTCATAGATATATTCCACAAATGGATCAAAGCTTTGTCGGCCTTTACCACAGGCTCTACAACTTCATCATGAAATGTGTAGCAACATATGCCATGAAAACTGTTACTTTAGGCCATGGTTCCCATCAGTCTTCAACTCAGTTACCTTCCTCCAGCGCTGCATCAATTTCCAGCTCCATGGCTGACCAAGCAACACACCCCATGGCTCAAGAAACACCACCCAAAGATGCAAGTTTGCAAGCCGAAATAGAGCCAGATCCAGCACACAATCAAAAGGAAGTTCAAGAAATGGGTGATACTAACATTTCTTCCGCACCATCTAAGGAAGAGAAAGCAGCAGTGTCTACAATTGGACCTCAAGCTCAACCACCAAAGAAAATGGTTAGCACAAATGACACATTAGATGAGATAACTTTAACAGCAAGGAGGAAGAAAAGTAAAGCGAAGAAAAGAACAGAAAAAATGGGTTCATTTGACCAAGAAATAGATGAACCAAAACCTTTGAAATCGATTAAAAAGGTGGGTTCTAAACTAGATGAGAATTCCTACATGAATTCTAGCAGCTTGGAGTCTAACTAAAATTTACCTTCTGCTTTGTTCCTTGTACATATCTGTGAGGGTTGAATGATTACATTCTCCATGCCAAAAACAAGAATGAGAAAAACCATATACTATTTGAACATATGATATATCAAATGGTTGAATATCTATCTATATAAATGAACTTTCCAATAGATATTATCATAACACAACTTTTTAATTTTAAGAATCAGTATCTACACCATTTTGTTTGGCATCGTCATATGAGTCAATATCAAAGTTTTTGACATCGTCATCTGAGTCCAATTGGAGGTCGAAAAATGAACTAAGATACCAGCTACATTGATCATTCCAATCAGCCCTGTTGCCACTGATTCGCCATTTCTGGTCTTGTATCATTTCAGGAGAGAGTCCCCATTCTAGCAACTCTTCATCTGTATGATTGATTGCTAAGCTATATTCACCACCATGTCCCAACTCCATAACTCGGATCTCACAATTGCCAGGATTATTCAAGTGCTCAAATTGTTCAACTGTCCACTTGAACCACTTCATTAGAAATACCCGGGAGGCTAGACCATGTGAGATTATTATGAGATTCAAGTCTTGAGTAGGATCATTGTGAAGCCTATTCAAGTCTATGTCTCTCCAAAGAGATTCAAGAAAACCTGCAAATTTCAAGATTTTTTTTTTTTCAATTAAGATTCTAGTGATCCAAACTACATATCAAAACCATTTGATTATTAAGGCTGTTCTCTAAGATAAAAGAACAAGAACGATTATATACAAACCATAATAATTCAAAGCCACAGATTTGTTTCCAGTAGATACAAGTGCTAAACCATCATAATCCATTTGAAAAGTCAGACTCACATCTGGTTCAATCCTACTTCCCTAACTTGAAGCCTTTCAAAGCCAGTGACATATTATAGTTAACTCACTCAAGTTCTACATGGATGAAATGGCAAACCAAGCCCTCCAACCAACCATTTTAGCAAATGATTTCCAGAAAGTTACTCTCATTAGTCACGCAGAACCAACATATGACAAATTAAAATCACTCATCAAGAAAAATTATCTAGTATTTTAGCATGTCCTGCCACCAGAATATTATCCATATAGAAAACTTTTACTAAAATGGATCCTAATGTAATACTTTAGAGGAAAAAAACTGTCTTGACTTATTTCCAACATTCGATTAGCATTTTGAAGACGCCAATTTAGAGCAGAGATTTGTTAAGATCAGAAAAACATACATATATCAAAGAAATCTATGCTCATACACAGTCAAGGAAGCAATAAAACAGAGTTTTGTATATTCAGTTTAACAGTCCTTTAATCTTTCTTCTGTTTTACCATATTCAAAACAGAACCCAATTTTTACTTGGAAGTACTTTGCTTTTCAAGGTTTCAAAACAAGCCATTATCTAAACCATTTCCAAAGCATTTATTTCCAACAATAACAAAAATACAAAGAGATGCAGCCAAGAGGAAAAAAAAAAAGCAATTTATTTTAGGCTCTCCTTCCTAGTTCCTAGTCGTTTATTTTCCTTTTCTTCTTGCTTTCACAATCAATGAAAAAACTTTCAATGTCATCATCGAGCATCAACTTACTAAACTACTCTTTTTTGGTAGAATGGAGATCGTAGCTTGAACTCTAGACTTGCCGAATGCCACAAAAAGAGATGACTGCATGTACCAACTAGGCTAAACCCGAGTTCAACCTACTAAACTACTTTAAATAGTCACTAGAACCAATTCAAATCAACTAACTAAAGTAACCAAAAAAAAAAAAAAAAATCCTACTTATCTGCACCTGCATTGCTTCTATTAACTTAGAAATTCAACCAAAAAGAAAACTTCTTCAAAAGTTCGACTTTTTACAACCATTCAATTTCCCATTTCCAAATCACAACTCTTTCAATAGAAACTTAATTCCCTAAGGACCCTTTAACCAAAATGCAAAGTTTACATAAAAAAGAAGTAAAATTTACATAAAAAATGCAAATTTTATATAAAAAAAAAATAAGAAAAGAAAACTCAAGATGAAGAAGAAGAACTTACTTGAAACACGATCAAAAACATCAGCAGCAGATTCACCTTCAGGGAACCTATAAAAGAACCTTCCAAACTTTTCTCTCGTTTCCTTTATAACTTTCATCCTTTCCTCCACCTGAAAATTCCCAAAGTCCTGTTCTCTGATCCTACACTCTTCCCTTACACCAATCACCCTTTTCTTGGAAAATGATTTCCCGATCTCCCGCAGAGTGGATCGGGTGCGCTCGTAAGGAGAGACGTAGAAGTAGACCCGCCAATCAGGGAAAGACCCGTGGCTGGAGACGAGGTCCCGGAGATGGGAACCCGCCAGGCAGGCTTGGGCACGGCCCTGTTCCGTTAAGGAGATCTTGTGGTCGGGGGTTGTGGAGTAGGCCGAGGTGTCTAAGTTGCCTTCCGACTCACCGTGTCGGACTAGGATTATGCGTTTCGGTAACAGCCTGTTGCGATGCTGCTGGTTATGGTTGTTCGCTTGCATTGTTTTTCTAATTCTTGGAAGATTTTTTGTGTGGAAATCAATGGGAAATACAGTTGTAAATGTGGGATTTTGGTTCTGGCTTAAAATGGAGTGCAAGGTTTTGATTTTGCTCCTATTTATAATGGCAGGCTTGCTTGTTGAGGGTTTTTTTTTTTTTTTTTTGGTCTTATATTTGTTAATGGGATGAGATTCCATTCGTCTTTCATGGTTTATCCAAGTTTTCAATCATCCAAAGTTCAAAGTCATGTCTTGTATTATAAGTTTTGGAAACGAATATGAACAATTTTTTACAACTTCTTTCTTGGGTAATTTTCTAGGACTTTTTTAATTTCTTTTTTCTTGGTTCAATTTTTCAATAATTCAAAATCTTTACTTATTTGATTGTAAGAGATAAACCTAACCATTCATATCATTATGAATATTTATATAATATTTTATATAAAAATTATATATCATAATTTATATTGATATAAAAAATATAAAATATATTTTTAAAATTTTATTAAATTTATTTATAATTTTTATTAAAATTTTAAATCATATTATTTTTATATATTTTATTTATATTATTTTTATATTATATTATCACATCGTATTTTAAATTATAAAATTTAATTAAAAACGTAATTCAAAACAAAATTAACAAATAATTCAAAATTTTAATATATACCTTTAAAAAATGACATTTAACATATTAAAAACTCAAATTTTACATTTATAATTGTTTACATCATTAAATTATAATATTTTTTTTTAAATATTAAGATTCCAAAACTCTTTAATTATGCCTTTTCTTTTTAATTTAGGATGAAAAGAACTTTGCTGGCAACAACTGTGTAAGGATTTCCTTGAATCTGTCAACAACTGTTTAAGATTTAGATTAGAATGTAGAAGGCTAGAAGCATATCCATTGTTGTGGTATAATTTTTAAGATGTCAAAGCTGTTTAACATGTTATCCACTTGGGCATATACCAGTCCTCACAAGGAAGAAAGAAGGAAATAACAACAGCAAAGCTGCATTTTTGCCCCCAAAGCAAGAATTCTTACCTTTGACTTGGGATTCAGATGACAATGAAAAGAATCCATTCTAGAACACAAGTGTTCATACAACTTTTGACAAAAAATGGTGGCTGCAGCAATTTTCACACAAAATATATTGCTTAATCGTAGGTTCAATATTTTTCATTTTCAATTGTTATTTAACCCTTGGTTTCATGGTTGCTTGCAATTGGCCATATCCTTTGAATAATTTTGAGTAAAATGAGAAATAAACATAAGACCATAAAAGTAGAATCTTGGGTCATCCAATCCTAACTAGAAAATGTTGTATTAGCTACTAACCAAAAAGTCCATTTAATTGGTAGGATTGCATTTTTTTTTATATAAGTGGTTTTGGGTTCAAGCTTAACTAATAGCTTCTTAACGAAATTATCTTGAATATATTATTTATAATTATTATTATTTAGTTAATATATTTTATTTTAATTTAAAGATGAAATAATTTATTTATATTTAAAATTAAAAAAAATATATTATGTCAACAAAATTATTGCAAATTTGATTTGAGAATTGTTCTTTTAAATGCATAATTTATTTAATATATACTCAACTTCATCTACCCTACCTAACAATGCTAAGATTATGCTCCGTTCATTCCATTCTTACATGCTATAACAAAGCCTCCTTCCCAATCTTTATTTATTTTACCCTTAGACAATAATTTTATTGCACTTTAGGAATACGAAAAAAAATTGTAAAAACGAGGATTTAAATTTTAAATTTACTGAATAATATTTTTTTAAAAATAATTGTATAAACAAATCAAATTAAGTATTGAGTTCTTAAATGGATGACACATCCACTTGGGCCAATAATTTAAAGGAATAGTCTTGGGCCTAGTATCATTAATATAGTTTGGGTTGATGAGTTTCATTCTTGGACCAGGTCAAGCTCTAATTTCTTTTTAAGACCACACCAAACAAATTGGGTCATGTAACTTAGTAGAGTTAGACTTAGTTCTAGCAACCTGAAAATGGATTGGGTCAAGACAAAACATTTTCATTTGGATATGTAATTAGCAGGTATTAGAATTGAGCCATGCACCTAAAATGGGTTGGACTGTTGAGCTTATTTCTTGGGTTATGTCAAAGCCTTTAATGAACCGCTAACCTTTTTTTTTTTTTTTTTGAGAATAATGAGCCAATAGCCTATAAGGAAAAACAAAAGGAAAAAAAAAATGCATAATCACAATATTACCAATTCCATTAATTGATAAATTCAACCAATTCAGTTGATAAAAAAATAGTAAATAAATCAGTTCAAATTCACCCATAATTGAGCATCATTTAGTGGATAAATAAGGGCAAAATGATCATTCCAAAATAATATCATGAGACATTGATTTTGTGGGTCCTTAAAAAAAATTAAAAAAATCATATTAGAATCTGAAAAAAGAATTCAAATCATTTTAGTATACCTAAAATACCCATATATGAGGAGCATGAGTTATGTTTTCCTAGTATTTATGAAACATAAGACCAAACAAATAAGCAATGTACGAATTACAAACGTTGTTAGATGTTGAATGAGAACACAAAGATCAAAACTTTCAATTTGTTCCATATAAAAAAAAAAAAAAAACTTTATTGTGTAAAGCGATAAACATGGTAGGCTAAATCTGAGATCAATTAACCAAAATCCAGTTTTGTGGTTCAAGTAATGTTCTGAATTCTCTATACAAACACCGAGAAAAAAAAGAGATCCCATCTACCAAAACAAAAAATACCCAAGGAAAAAAAACAAGCCTTTTCTTATTGAAGATTCTTGCTACTGCATTGATTTGGTGTAAAGAGATAGTTTGTGAAAATGGGTTTATTTTATTTTGTTGTAATAACTGAAGGAAGGCAACCATGAAGCCTTTTCAATGCTCATCAATCATCGCTGGTGGTAAAACCATGAAGAGCTGATTCTACTCAATGAAGCTTTTCTGATGGGTGATTTTTTTGTTGGTTGTATATTGGTTTGGCTCTAATTGGGTGTCAAAGATTCAATATTGCACTGATGACTTCCAGATTTCAGTTATGGTGCAAGTTCAATGCTGATGTTCATGGTTAAAAAGAGAGGTTATTATGGGGAAGTTCCTCAGTGGATTTGTATTGCCTCTGCTTCTTTTGACAGGTATACGCTTCCACCACTTCAATTTCATAGCAATTTTTTTCATTGGACATGTTTTCTTATCAGAGAAATCTAATGTGGATTTGATTCCCATTTTGTATGAATGCCTTACACATTTTGCTTGAAGGGTTACCTAAGAGAAATCCAAGCAAATGTTAACCAGTAAATAAAAGCAAAAAAAAAAAATTTAATCATGTTCTTTTTCTTTGGCAGCTTCTTTGTTCAATTGGAGTTTGATATCTCTGGTTGATCTGTTAGCCTTTCTCTTCATTCAATATGCAGCTCCAAAAATGGGTAAACCATCTACACTACTTTATTTCTATATCCTATTGTTAATTATGACATGTTTTTTTCTTGCAAAGAATGTTTCACAAAGGTTTCTTTTTTCCTTGTCTGAGATTATTTAAGTCTTATTGTTTGTGGGAAACGAAGGTTTCCGCTTGCACGTGAAGGGCAAGAAAAACAAGCCTGAGTTGCTAGCGTTTATTTGTATTGGGATTTGGATTAGGAATTCATTTCTGGAAGTAACTATGTTCCTTAAAATTTTAAAATCAACCATGGTTAGCATGGCAATTGCCAATTAGTTCAACTTGTCTTTCTTTACGCCTTGCATTCTCTATTCATTTGTACTTTTTCATTTCAATAATGTCAACAGCTGGAATAGTTCATATGAAAGAAATAACGAGTCATATTCTTGATTAGATTCCTTTAACCTTTTGATTAGTTCTTAAGTGCATTTTGATTTACGCCATAAATGACTAACAAAAGAGCAGAGATAGTTGTTTGGAAGAATTTTTAGCATAAGCAATGGAGTTTATTTTATTTTTTCTGGTTGAGGCTTACTTGCCCCCTGATTGAGTACCATTTTCATTCTCCAAGTCTAGAATTTCTTAGTAAGTTTTTTTGGTGTGTGATAGGTTTTCGGTTCCTGAGGCAATCTCTGTTTTCATGGTATACCCTTATCTTTTCCTTGCTAACTATTCTATCACATGCCATATTTTACATTGTTTGGGTTGTGAAAGGAGACCAGTGGAGCATTTCTGATGCTCAATGGGCAAAGCTAATCGGTTTGCTAAGGTAAAATCTAATGCATGAAGTATGCTTTCTGTTTTGCTTTGACTATAATTTTCACATTAAAATGGGATGATGTTGCAGAGATCAGTCTTGGAGCTTTCCATCTGTAATGTTTTTCTTGGTAGTACAAGTACTAGCATCTTTAGTTGCTTTATTTGAAATCTGCAATAGTAGATTTGGCATGGATCCACAGAGAGATTCTTTTTGGGGACATCTATATTCCTTCATCCTACATATAGGTTTGTAATAATAAACTATGCGGAACACTTCTCATATTACCATTGTTTTACAAATTTTCTTTATTTTTATTTTCTTTTCTATACATGTATGTATTCGTCCACTTTTGGACTTACCCTTCTTTTTTTTCAAAGAAAAAAATTGCAGTTTGGTTGGTACTCGGTACACATACTAGTTGAATAGATGATAAAGTAGTTCATACTTCACGGATAAATCATGTGTAGCAAGTAGTAGATATTGGAACTAAACTTAAGGCTTTTGTAGCAGAAGGCCTCTTTCTTCCATTTTGAAAGGATCAAAGCATAATGCTTTCTTCTTGGATGGTCCAATGTAATGAACTCTTTACTTATATGGTTAATTTAGTGTATGATTGAGAAAGTCAATATATAGGTATATGTTCGTATAAGTTAGTCAAAATGTTCGAAGTTTACTTGCTTTTTATCTTAAATCATTTGAATTTTTCAACTACATTTGTAGCAATTATTTGTTGTGTTACAGTATTGATTTCTCCCTTTCCTGTAGTTAGATATGCCTTAGATTTTAACTTGAAGTTGTTTTGTTCTTTCTTTTCCTTGAAGGTTCCCGTCTCAGGGTTTTAAGCTGCTTATTGTTGCCTGCTGTACAGCTTGTTGTGGGAATTAGTCATCCCTCTTGGGCTTCTTTACCATTTTTTATTTGTAGT